CATTTACTCCCACTATCTTTTAAAAATTAAAAATAAAAGCATATCAATAGTAAATTGTGAAATATTTAATACCTGTTAGCTGTGCCATCAAATATCGCATTTGCCTAACTTTTTCGGGGTTTTCATGTTGGTTTGTTGTCTTTCGCGGGTGAGAATAGCGTGCACGACTTTTAAATCTTTGAACCAATGGTCAAAAGTCGAAAAAATATAAAAAAACAACGAGAATTTGCTGCAAAAACTTCGAAAAGCAAAAATATTTTTGATAAAACCAGGGGGGTGTGAAAATCGCAGCGGGCTCAGAATTGAGCCTGGTCAGTGGCAATTTCATGAGCCGGAGGAACCAGTTGTCATGGAAATGGCGCCATATGGCGCGAAAATCCGCCATGTTTTTGGCGACACTTTTTGATGCCGAGCACGTCCTCCAGTAATATAGTATAGCTCAGTGATTCCGACGTTTATGTTTGCGAAACTGAAATCGAAATTAATCTGGGAAAATAAAATTGAAATTAGCACAAGGTTAGTACTTCATGTTAGCGCAGTTTGGACTGTGCCTTCGTCTCAAATTTCAAATTTCAACCTGCGAACGGGCATACTCATACGGGATGCCGGCCTGCGGAGGAGGTAAGGGTCACAGTCACACCAGCTATTTATGAATAAAACTGAACTTTCAACAATGCCAATGTCAATAACTAATAAGAATAACGGCACGTTAATTTGAACTTTGAAGTAATTTGACCTCTTTTAGCTTTTTTTTGGCCTCATTAGAAAAATTGTAGTTTGGCCTCTTTTGGTAGATTTTGGCCTCTTTTTGATAGCTATTTGGCTCCGAGCATGCGCAGGACGTACAACCCTGCACAGCTGCACTGTATTAGTGTATTAAAAGCGAAAGTAAAGCGGTTCCATCTCATTCTCCACAACTTTTCAGTTCAAGTTTTGTTCTGTACTGCTGTTGTTGAGAGCAATTTGGAGGATTTTAAGTCACTCGGATTATTTGGTCACCTTTATAGAATAGGTAGGTGTTGTGCATGTTTACAAACTTCGATTTTTCTGACAAATAATTAACAATACAAATTGGTCAAGTAATGACGTTTTGGTAGTAATGTAGTATTAATGTATCAGTACTGCAATTCCAGAGGTGCCTATCCCCCCGGGACACCCCCGGGGAATTAGCCATTCCTGGAAAGAAAATGGCTATGTCCCCACCCCAGGGAAAGAAGAACTGTGCTAAAGCCTCACCCCTGGGCAAACAAATTGGGTTTCCCCCCGACCCCCAGGATAAGGCGGGGAAATTAACATTTTGACAATGTTAAATTTTGGTACTTTTCCTGCTACCGGGGGAATATTGACTGTTAATAATAATAATATTTAAAATTTATATGGTGCAAAATACATACCTGTATGTATATGATCTAATGCGCTTTACAATAAATGAGATAAATACAATCAAAAGATAGATACAATATTAATTTACAAATACCTAAAACTACGATTAATAAAACTATACCCCAGGGTGCATTCTGTGTAAATTGTACGCCGGATATACATCAAAACAATGTTTTTTACGCCAACGCAAGCTGAGGTTCACGCCATTACGTTATGACACCAGTGGCATCGTCCAACCCCGCCCTCCGAAGAGGCGTGGCCCTGTTCAACCTGTTGACACCCTCTGCTTGAATTGACACCGTTGTGCAATTTAGCGCAAACGCCTATAACAAAATTACAACAGTAACAAGTCAATAAATTACAGTATGATCAGAACACTTTTACCAAATTGAACACTTATAACTCTTAACAATATGCGGATTCATCTTTTAATAATGTAGTCATTGAAAAATTCATTGAAAAACTTAAGTTTAATTACATTTACAGTTAAGAATAAAACGTCTTTAACAACAACATTGTTTAATTTTAATTGCTAATCACGGTAAAACTCGTAGCTGTTATTGTGTTGTACAGCATCTTTACCACAAAAACGCATTTCCCTGCAAATCGACCGTCTAATTTCACATAGGAGAGAATGAAACCATCATCCATACAATGCTAATAAAATGAATCAACCCGTGCACTATTGACTGATGTTCAATCCACAGCTAGGAATGGACAAAGTCCACATTCAGCATGAACATGGTCAATGACTTTCGAACAGTCTTACTTCTTTGCTCGGGAGGAGAAGAAGGAGTTGACACGATGTGCTTTTATATTATCATCTCCCTCTAGATATAAACGTACGCCTTCTTTAATTATCTTTTCACAGTGTTTAAGGGAAGGCAAGCACCAATTGACCTTCATTCTCCGTGCAAGGGTATCGTTAGACTGACCACCGGATTGCTGTTGGTTGCGCATGGCATTGTAAAAACTTTCCGCTGTTGCCTCTGGACCGCCTTTCACCAAAACAATGTACAATAGTGCACATGATGGAGGCTGTGCAATATCATAGAGGACTTTGTTTGAGTAAAATGACTTATAAACACACTTCTCAGACAGTCTCACTTTTCGAACCATTCCATTGGAGAAATGCATGACAAAGATCGATTCAAGATTGGTTGACTCTTCGGCACGAATTTCTAGTAAAGAAACACCATCGATAAAAGGTGTGCCCACTTCAACATCCGTAATGTCAAACAAGTCTGGACAAATACCATTCCATACACCTTCCAAGACTGCTTTCTTCAATCAGCCCATGTAGGTGTGTGCTATACGTGTATCAAAATTTAGACCAGAAGCTTGGATGTGAGATAACTTCGAAGCTACCTTCATTACTTCTTTGCACTCCTCGACTCCATACTCTTCGATTTACCCTTCCGGCAGGAAGAACGTAATCTTTCCATCTTCAGCAGTACCACAGTGAAGCTTAACGAGATTTGCTGCATCAAATACTTCGAGATTTGACATCATTTCGCTGTGTAAAATAGAGGTAACTCGTTTTTCCAACGAATCCTTAAGATCTTTGGCAAATCTTCTATGGTCTTCTTTGATTTCATGTTGTTATATCTGGGTCCAGTGAAAGCGATCTTCTCCTGAATCTCTTCCGCCATCACTTGTAACCAACCATCCTGGCAAAAGGGTAACACCTCTAAAAACACCACCCGGTTCAAGATTTCGTTCGACTTCTTTCAGTCTCGGAAACGCTTCAGAATCTGCGTCGGCAGCTTTCATCAATTTTGCACTGACTTTGGGCCACCACAACTTCAACTTCCAAACCGGTGTATCTAGAGCTTGTGTGTGAACCATCAAATCAACAACAGGACTTAAGATGTCAAGAAGTGCCAAGAGATCATGGACAAAATATGATCCCGCTATCATGTACTGTCATTCTTCGTCTTCCGTGCGGTTTGGGTGAAGAAGGTCAAACGCTTTCCAAAAGGAATCGAAGCTCTTCTCTATCTTTACCCATTGCTCATATGACGAACTCGCGAACCTTTGGGTGGCATAGGATACTGGTCGCCTTTTATATATAGGATAGGATACTGGTCATTTTCATTGACCATTTGTAGAAACGCAAATCCTTTTCCGTTGGATAGCACATGGTTAAACACGTTACATCTTTTAATGAACTGCCGAAAAAATTCACCGCTATCCGTCTTGGCGTCTCGCACGTCAGTTAAGCAAGATTAAGAAGATGCGCCGTGTCCCACGTAACAGGCAGAGCAAGATCATCTTTAAACCAAGAGCTTCTCGTAGATGTTTTCTAAACCTGTTAGCTTGATAAGGCCCATCTGCTCCAACTCCACAAAGACGAGACAGAATTTCAGGAGAAAAGTGCTCTGAAATTGCATCTAAGAGTTGCCTTGCAAGGGAATCGTACGTAGCCTCTTTGAAATCATCATAAATTGCTGGTACTGCCACTGGGATAGGACACCGTGTACCACTACTGTCCCTGGCGACGATAAGAACTGCTTGATTTGTAGTTTTGGAAGGGGTTGCTTTACCAGTAGTTGCCTAAAAATGGGGAGGAAGTTGTGTGGAAGGAAGAGGAGTAGCAAGCCACGCTCTTATTTTCTCATCTATGACTTTCTCTAGGCAGTACATGACATGATTGAAATTGTTGCGACCATGTCCAATTGTGCCTACGTCAACAGAACAGCTGTCTAAGAAAGAAATAAGAGTTTCAAAGTGTCTTCCAGCTGCCCCAAGCTTAACATCAGTAATTGCGGCTCGAGAGAGGTTTTGGCATACTGTAGATTCTCGGTGTAGGTGATCCTTCCTCTTTCCATATTTCAACATTGCTTTTGCGTGTTTTGTTGATCCACGTCCAACGAGACAAAGATGATCAAAGCAGTAATTCTTCTGGCGATACCAAGCTTGGTTATGACCAGTTATAAACAGCCGCGAGGTTTCTTTGTTGATAAAAATGCCACTTGAGAGGGTGCCATTCCCTGTTGGATTTAGCAACTGTTGTGCTCTGAACGGTGTTAGAGAACGAAGTGTCGGTTGGGCAGCCAGGTGAAGCTCACAACATGGTAAACATCGCAAGATAGCACATTCTGTAATTTCGTCGTAAAATCACTCGAGAAGTCGCGTAGCATCGTTGAGCTCGATGACGTTGTTCGCTTTTCGTATTTCTTGGACAGATTTTCTAACTTCGCTCTCCTCACAAGCTAACTGCTCAAGTGTCCTGTGTTGATCCGTAATGGCGTCAACTTTTAGATTCAACGCAGAAAGCATGCATTCAATGCTAGAACGTGCTTGAGCGGGTGCATCTTCACCGGATGTTGAACATGCACTATCTGGTAAGGGTTGTTTGAAATCAAATGGTGTCGTTTGGGCTGATTCTTTAATCTCTTCGGTTGTTTTGCTTGCATCTTTTACCGACTGATTTTCTAATAATTTAACTTCACTTTTACTTGTGGTTGCAATTGAACAAACTTTAGACTTTCGTTTGCAATACTTGTTCCTAAGTGAGGCAGCTGACGGGGATGATGCTGGCACAAATGTGCATTTTTCTCTGTCGGGTAATTTATGCCATCTGTCTTTGTGTCGTTGGATGCTAGAATTATCTAGTCGACAGATGCTTGAAGATCTTTCTTCTTGTTTCCCTTGCGAACACCGTTCCATGCATTGTAAACAAACATGGTTTTCTCTCTGTTTTGGTTGGTCATCTACTTTTTACTTTTCTGCAACTGGGCCTTGGGGTTTCTGAGATGTGAAGCTTCCGCAGTCAAAGGTAAGCTGACGTTTCAAGGATCTTCCTTGTTTTACTTCATTCAAACCACGTCACCTGCACCTGTGCAATCATAATATTTATCGATAAAGCTGTACGAGTTATCTTTTTGCAAAATACTTGCAATATTTTATGTGTTTATATTCTAAGTGAACTTTAAGATTTACAATATTTTTTTAGTTGCATTGTCCATTGAGATATGGCAAAATTAATTCTTTAGCCAGATACCTTCATCTTTACAAGCAAACAACATTTTGGCCGTAACCTTCTTCACCAACCGGATGTCCACAAATCAAATGCGCCGACCTTTTACATTTTGTGCAGCTGTGACCAGCCCCTATTTCTTTACACACGTGGCAAAGCGCCACAGTTATTCCAATCTAAAGTATCAGTTTTGCAGCATGTTCACAAACATTTCAGTATAAACACGAAACAGGCACAGTACACACTGAGACATTAGACATAAGACATAGTACTTGTAATTTACTCATGAATATTTAATTTATTTTAGCCTGCGAACAGGCCCTGGGTTACGGGCGGTGCGAAGAATAGAGGGCCTGCACGGAACTATAGGTTTTCTTGGTAGTGGCGTTCGTATAGAAACGCAGGCTTCTGATTGGCTTACACTCGTTGACAAAATTACTAAAAATAGCAAATGTCAACAACAGCATTTTGAACTTTTATATTATAAGACTATCGAACAAAATAAAACTAGGAATGGAAACTAAAGGAAAAGCAAAGCATCACAGCAAAAACGTCTATCATAAATGACTTGAATCTATCGCTTAAATCCAATACACGAAACTATAATAGTATTCTGAACTTCGTCTTCGGATTGACATCAGACTATAGTATAGTACATTTTGTAGCCTATTTTGAGGTCGTCGTGGCTTCACGGATTATTCTTACTAGTGAGCAAGTCAGCAAGCGAAGGCATACAAAAGATACCCAAATATGTACGAATAATTATATTGTTGATCCTCGCTGGCATGTCATTTAGATATAATTATATATCGTACATTAAACGTTATACTATTTACTGAATACTGTATAAACTGCTGACAATTTCGTCGTCGATACGGCTTCCACTATTGGCACACTCGTGATTTCGAAGAAATTAATAAATACATGCTCATTTATCATTTATTTAGACCACAGTTAGTAAAATTTTAGACGTATTCGGTATTCCAAATCCCAATCTATCTGATCGTATTTTAGTAATAGCTTCAAATATTCAGAACATTGTTCTTTCAGTCGCACATAAGTATTACTGTACATTCAATGCCAATGGTAGTATTTTATTCGGCTTTATATTTGTATGTTTATTGATATCTATTATCTTTCTGGAGAATTCTATATTTCCGAGTAATAATATATATATTGTGCGGCCAGCTAATGCTTCGTATTATTGTTCATATAAACATTATATTTCTTCGCTGCACAATGTACACGCCTTGCGTCAATTTGACAGTTGACAGTTTATTTATTGCAGTCGACGCTGATTGGTTCGCGTTTAGCAGATGCGAAAAGGGGATGATTGAATAAAACGCATGGTTCCGTGCAGGCTCACCTTTCTCCCAGTGAGCCTGTTCGCAGGCTAAATTTATTTATACTATTCATTATTGTTTAATTGATATTACGTATGCATGTAAAAAGTTTAAATAACTGTTTATCACAACGATTAGTCACTGTTTTCTTACCTCATCTGAGTCATCTAACATTTTCAAATCGCGTACTTGCCATACTTGACAGATTAGTTTACCTCTGGCGATATTAAAAATAAAATTACGGCAAAAGGCAAAAGAGACGCAGACCTGCCAACTCTCCCTACATAGCCGGGAGTCTCCCGGTTCTGACCTGTGATCTCCCGGTAGTGAAATTTTCTCCCGGTATTTGCAACTGGCAATTATCCTGATTTCTTGTTGATCTTATTGAATTTTATTGAGAAATATCTACGCTCGGCTTCGTAGGAGACAAGTAAAACTGTAAAGGAGAAAATTTGGATTCTGTGACGTTCGGAAAGTCAAAAGTGAAGTATTTGTTTGTTAAAACACGTCTTCATGTTGTATTTTCAGTCCAAGATAGTGCCCAATTTAACATTAGTCAAGAGGCTTCTTGTGCTGTTAATGTAGCTAAGAGTTTGAACAAGACACTAATCTGACTGCTCTAATGAAAAGGGCTTTGATGAGTTTTCTGCCTCCAAACAGCCAATTCTCTCGCCAAATTAAGTGTTTAATTAAATAAGAATTCTCCCTATAAATCAGTTGCTGAGATTGACAGGTCTGGAGACGTGACTAGTTCTGGAATAGTCATTAAAGACAAATATTGCTGGTGGTGTAAAGACAAATCTCGTGGTGCAAGGGTTCCAGACTGTACAGGCTCTTGACTTAATAGCAGTGCTACATTCACCAAGGATTTTTCTAAGTAAGCCATGAGTGCTATTTGCCTTACTACATACAGTATGATGCCACAATGTTTGTTCCAGTTCAACTTGTGGTTCATAGTAATGCCCAGGTATTTGTAAGAAGATCGATACTCTGGTAATGATTTGATTATTCATTACACATAACCATATGTTTCAGGGGCACGTTTATTTGTAATTCCTAGGTGGTAGCATTTTGAGAAATTGAAATTTAGTTGCCACTTGTTAGCCCAATTATTTAAATTGTCTAAATCCTCTTGTAAAGTGACGTGGTGCTGATCGTTATTAATTTCTCTATAAATGATTCCATCGTCAGCAAACATATATTAATATTCTCAGAAATATCGTTTATATAGAGAAGAAATAAGACAGGTGCGAGAATTGTTCCTTGAGGTCCTCCCGATATGACAGGTTGAGGGTGAGAGTGGGAGCCATTAACCGAGACAACTTGAGGGCGGTTGGAAAGAAAAGCCTTGATCCAATTGGCGGAAAGTCCTCTAATACCATGATGGTCTAATTTGGACATCAGACGAAGATGTCAGAGGAACGGAATCACACACTACATTCTTTATTTGAGAAAATTATCAAGCCATTTCGGATTCAAGCAGTGATTTAATAACAGTTACCTTAAGATCTGGCAGAACTGCCACTATTCACTAGGTTTATGAAAGACACTCTTCAAAACATTGCATAAACTTTTGCCATATCTTTATAAATTAAAATTTGCTTCATAGTTCTGAAAAGACTACCATGTATAAAAACATCTAATGGTGAATTATTCTTTAGCCTACGATTCGTCATCGTGTGTCCTGTAATAAAATAGAAAGTTAGGGGGGGGGGGGACTTCAGAATATATTTTGCTGTCTTTAGAGGTGGGAGGGGGCTTTGAAAATCTTAGATGTCTTTAGAAGGAGGTGTTGTAAAAAATATTACCTCGCGATGTTTCTCTTCAGGCCCCCTCTGTATAATAAATAATGAACAGTCCCTACGTAACTTTCTTTGTTCCCGGAAAATTCCTGAAAGTTTTTCGATGTGTTTCATTGGCATTTTTGTAGAATAAATACCACAATACTGTCAAAATAATAAGAAGTAGCGCTGGAAAACAGTGCATTAATATATTTGAAGAAAAACGTTTGATCAAGTAATCCAGGTCTCCATCAATCATCAGTGTAATGAATGCATACAGGACAAGAGATTAATTAGCACATCCTCTGACTCTTCGAAAATTGTGGGATGTGTCATGTGTGATTGCATAGGCGTACTGGGTTGATGCTTTCCCTGGGGGTGGGGGGCAGTTGAAAGTTTGCCCGAATTTGTATGAAGGATCAAATTTTCATGATTTGCCAGAATTTCCATTTTTGATTAAACTTTTGGAGGGGCAGTTGCCTCCCCCGTCTCGTACACCTATGGTAATTGTGTGAAATTAAATCTTCTTGATTGCATGCTTCATTTCATAAATTATGGTTGAAATTGGAGGTTTATTGATTTGAGTATGTTCTTACTTGAATGAATAACCTGATCGGCTCAATCTTAGGGAATGCACCCACCATACATGGTCATGCAGGGGCGTCGTGGATCCCATGTTTTAGGGGGGGGGGGGCAAGGGCAGCATTTTTCCGACAAACACAATTTTTTTCGACATAAATAATATATGAAGTCATGTTTAATTAACTATTGACTATTCTATAAACGTATATTGGGAAAGTGTAAACTCGATTTCCGTTATTTCGTCAAAATATTTTTTATTCAAACATGTTTCGCATTGTCAAACACTGACGAAGAGAAGTAAAATTCCCGCTCGCATATGCAGATACCTGCAGTGCATTTTTAAAGAATTCTTCAGTGGTGGGGCAATACTGCCAAAGGGCCCATTTTCCTTGCCCTCCCCGCAGGATAGTATGCGATCGCCGAAGGTGTGACCAGAGTACCGCAGGCACGAGTTAGCTATGGGGGGGTGTTAAAATTTGGATCTCTCAAATGGCATTTCCTGCATTCTAAGAACACATTTTAAAGAAATCTCAGCCTCTCAAAACAAAGTTTTAATGGTGCAATTTGTAATAAATTGCATGCTAAACATTCAAACACAATATATTTAGTTTAAGTATGCTCACCAAAAAATGTTGTTTTTTAAATTAAACTCATTTACTCAATACAGGTCCTAGGGCCCTGGCTTTGGGGCAATACGCCATTTTTTTTCTTCAGTGGTAGGACAGAGGAAGGGGCCCAAAAAACCAGTCCATGGTATTAAAAAACGCCTTGGATACCTGCATAGATTCCGACAACATAACAAATTTCAATTTTCCAACGGGTCTCAACAATAGGCCGGGGCATGGACCCCCTCCCCCCCCCCCGGCCACGGCGCCACTGTGGTCATGCATGGCAGACATGATGAGAGTTAATTGCTTGAAATACCAATCAATATATCGAAATACATATGAAAATATAATGGTCTGCTTCTTTTTGAAGAATTTCCTTAGATTCCTGAATTTTGCTAGATTTCCTGCAATTTTCCTTCATCCTGAACATTTCCTTTTGTTAGTAACATATCCTGCAAAAAGGAAATTCCCTGCAATGTGGAAACACTGTCTCAGAGTATTATTTGTAGCTGAGAAACGTTTTTAACAAATGCGCATGCTCAGACTATTATTTGCAAGCAGTTATTTGCAGGTAATTAACCAAGCAAAATTAAGAATACTATAAAGTGAATGATAATTACCTGTGTCAATTATTTTCCCACTATTAAAATCTATTTTATTGTTGTTTGTCCAAGCGTGATTAGCGATACTTGAACCACTTTTATAGAGCTCTGCATTTCTCCTGTGCTCCTTTCGCCTAGTGTTGAACGCTCTGCCAGTTTCGCCAATGTAGCTTCATGAGCAATCTGCACAGTTGATCTTGTGACCACGTTAATCTGCATCTTCCGGTGATGGTCTGTCTTTAGCAGAAGGAAATGACTGTTCTAGGGGCTATAAAGGTTTCGTTGTGATTCGGATGTCATGGGGTTTTAGGAGACTAGGACTAGAATCTTTTGAGTGGTTCTGTTAGGCCTTTAATATAGGGAAGGACAGCGTAACCATAGCTTAACTGCTGCTCTACGTGATCAAAAAACTCTTACCAACTCCTCAGGCTCAGGTGACGACTCATGCTTTTTCTTGTCTCATTGCTCGTTTCCTTTCCACCTCTTGCAAGAATTTCTGGGAGTATCGATTTTTGCCTTATCGGTAGACAATCGGAATCGGTAGAATTATCTATATTTCCCATTGTCTAAAACCGATTGTTGAGAAAATACACTCTTTAAAAATTATATGCATTGCACGTTGATACACGTGTTCTAACGCAACATGTTAAATTAATGCGTGAAGCGAGCCATTTGTTATCATAACGGTTTTAACGATCTTTGGTTGCAGTGACATGTTACGTTAAAAAATCGACATGAATGACGTCACCTTTACTCGGTCGACTGATATGACGTCATTACAAAATCGATATCTGGCAGATTGTGACATGAATAATCGGTAATTTCCGATTGTTGCACAATCGGTCAATCACATCCATTTAACAGTAAAGAAGCATCAGTTATGTGTTGCGTTTCTGTTGTTTCCCTTCATTTGTGTTGGGTAATGTTGCTGGCCTGTGTAGGAGAGTTTATGCAGTGCTGACTGCTGACTTTGTGCTGTTTGTCGTGGACGCGGTGTGAACATTGAACTATAAGTAAACTGGAAGGCTAACTTCTATGATGAAGGCCTATGATTCGTTGAAGCCGACGCGCGGGAAAATCAGCTTTCAAAAGGACTAAGGAGAGTTCGAGGAAAAAGTCGGTCAAAAGTTTGTTTTTGAGCAAAAATTTGCAAGAACAAGTACGATCGTACTATAGTGGACCAGGAACTGCGTGACCCAGTTTCGATCTTGTGCAAATCGTTAAATGTTCAAAACCTTCGAGATTTTGACTTGATAAACAAATAACTAGACACTTGTAAAACTAATAATTCTCGAAATTGCATGGCAGCGTAGACTGAGTTCGCTAAATGTTTTGCTTTAATTTGGTCATGCAAGATATACTTTATCCGGGCAAAAATATGTGTCTAGTCATGCCGTATATAAATTAGTGTAAATCTGGAAACGGGACTTATTGTTAAGGTAACAAATTATCTGAATTGTTGCTATAGGTTAATGCAGTTCATTTCGCTTAGTCATGGCTTCATAACTGCATGCTTGTGATAAAACAAATTAACATGTCTTTGTTTTTACGGTTCGCGATTTTAATTTCCGGCTATGACTATGAATATTATATATGATAGCCAGATAGGAGTATATTACTCCTCTGCGCTTTCAGAAACTAAGCCAGCGTGTTAAATTAGTCAACTTAAGTCTTAACGCTTATAATTAATCGTTATAATTAGTCGTCCACATTCTTGAGAAGCTTTGGACTATTGTGATTGTGTTCACAACGAACAAAAGAAAAGACAATGTCTTTCTTATCATTTGCGTTTGCTGATATGTTTGCTGAATATTAATGATATGTATATATTATTTGCTACGAATACAGTAAAAAATTGCTTGTATTTCGCTTCTAAAGTCAAAAATGAAAAATCGAACAGCGTCAATCGATGCGGAATATTGCTTAGAATAATTATGTCAAGTTTCATTCCGATCGGACAAGTAATGATGGAGCCTTAGGGTTTTTTCAAAGAGCGTCGCCTCCTAACAACAACAACAACAACAACAACAACAACAACAACAACAACAACAACAACAACAACAACAGCAACAGCAACAGCAACAACAACAACAACAACAACAAGATTAGCAGCGATTGGGGTCCAAAAACACTTTTCCATGGAAATACTACAATGATTGGGATTCAACCCTGGTTTCCCGATTAGGTCCGACTGTTTTACATCTCTCTGCAGCACAAAGTGAGGAGTTTTACTTTTGTACTTTGAAAAAATGAAGAAGTTTGGACGTGCCGAATGAAACCTTGCTCTTTAACTCGAAAAAAATTAATATACTATAAAACATTTTGACAGTCCCAAAACTTAGTTTGTACTAAACGCCAATCAAAATGAGCTTCCTACGGCCCTGAACGTTGCAGAGCATATATTTACCATTTTACCTCATTGTGATGGCAGGGGTGGGTAAAATAATTAATTTCTGTCAAATATTTAAAAGGCTGCGATGTTAGCGTGTACAGTGTAAATAAAGTAGAATAGTTGTAACTTGTAAGTTGAGTAAACAGATTATCTCAAAATGTTAAAATATTTTCTGGAAAATTTTCTGCAAATCTCTCAACTCAAAACAATTTCTGGGAACTAGGTTCCCAGGTTCCGATACTAAGTTCCCAGGTTCCGATACTTTTTCCACCCCTGGGCTGTACATCAAAATCTAAGTTAGCCTTTCCTCAATACAATAAAATTTATTTCAGTGTAATAGCTTTTATAGTTTTTACCTTACACGAAATCAAACAGCGCAATTTTTTTGGGACACCCGGTACTATATGTACATTATATATCAAAAGCTACTGCAATCCACGATGGTGTGTCCCAGATAAAGATATGATTAACTGAATCCATGCAGACCCGATTATTAACATATTAACAAGCGGAAGGTTATTCGGTTAGAAGATAAGCACCGCTATATTTAAAGCTTCTTTATATAATTGAACAGCTTCTTAATTATAATTGAACAGGAACGAAAACCTTTTAAGTTTTAGTTTCAAACAAAACCGAGTGCAAACGAATTATAATGTAAAGAGAGTCAGTACAAAGTCTAAAAAGGACACGCGAGCAAAACCAACTAGCAATTTCAATCTTCATGATGCAACCTATACGGGTATAGCTTCATTCCCATATAATTAAAACTGAACAATTATCTTTTATGTACTGTCAGTAGTTCAGAACACAACCTGTGACACAATCACCAAAATTGAAACCTTAACTATAACCTATTATTCTTGGGTTCCTACGGCATTATGCAGTGAATATGACGGGGGTCAACCTCAAATGTATTGATGTTTATGCTGTATTGGAGTGAGGAAATGATACGAAATTCCATGTATTTCACCAAACACAAGGCTAATACATAAAACGAACAATCGACTCACTCTGAGAACTGTGTTTTGTTTTAGACAAAAACAAAACACAGTTCTCAGAGTGACCCCCGTCACTTTGTGACGTCATATGAAACCCAAGAATAGTGGTTAGCATTTGACCACTTTCTATTCTATTTATAGGACCAAATTGTTTGAATGGCAGGTGCTCTATATGGTACCTTTACAGGTGAATTTTTGGGTGGTAAATTTTCAATCACCATTGGCACTGACAGTGTGGAAATAGTAGATCGCCTGACGGAAACTGTGACTACACTAGCTGCTCTTTACGTTGGTTATAAATTATTTAAACCATTAATCGAGACTGCAGTTAAAACAGGTCTTGGCGGTGAACGAGATGACCAAGACGTTAAAGATATCAAAGAAGGTTCTTTGCATGTTCAGTTACATTGTTTTACAGACGAGAGATTTCTGGAGGTCTTAACAGATTATGAATCTGGAATGATGAAAGACCGCTTGCAGGCAGAATTTTCGCAGGCTGGAATTAAAGTCGAAGGACTGAAGGTGGAGATTGAAAACATGGTAGAGGTGAATAAAACAAAGACATCTATATACAGGAGGTATGACAGATGTTTTATGATCATGAATCGGTCTTGAATTTATTTATTAAACATATCCAAAATTCAAGAAATCCCAGGATGGGCCAAAGCAAATATACCTTTTTCTAGTTCGAATATAGTTTGTTTGTTATCTATGCATGATATTATAGTACAAATTATAGTACAATGAACTTGTAGGGGAAAGAGGGTCCGAGGGTATGCTACCCCGGAAAATTTATAAAATTTAGATTCGGTAAAGTACCATTTTCAGCATTTTGGGATCTATCTTATCAAGATTTGCTAATCGTTTGAAATAGTCAATTAACAGATAACAACTCTACTTGATCATAAATCAGTCCAAAACATTTAAAACACTGCAAGATATAAAATTTACATTACAACTGAACAAATGAAAATATAATGCACATGCTTTGTACTATAATAAACATACAATATTCCCTTATTCTTGAAAAGAGAAAATGCACACATTCTGCGAAAACATTGGCAAGATTTATATAAACCTGCCCGTGCCGAACAAATTTCGGCGGCAATCTTTCTTCTCTCCCACTTTGAATATTCATCAAACAAAATAAAAAAAAATAATAATTATAAAACAATTAAAAACGATTAATTTTATTTTATTTTATTTAAATCTTCGTCTGAAATTTGTTCAAAACGCTTCATAATGGCCGCCGGCGAAAACATCAATCTCGAAGCCCCCCTCCTAAACATACGTCGGCAGGTGGATCCGAGATTGAACGCACCTCCTCGTAGCCAATAGGACGCTAATACGCTAGGTATGAGTAATGGTAAAAATGTTTCCAAATGGCGGCCTCGCAATTTTGCTCGGGGGCTGGACTCTCGCCCTCCAGCCCGTCTGGTGTTTACATCCTAGACCATACGATGCACATCTAGATTGGGTATATTCAACATTTCAACAGTACAGAAAAATAGGTACGCTGAGCATACATGCGCCCGCTGCGACAATAGTCATTATAACATGGTGATCGCTAGATAGTATACTTCAGAATAAGGTTTCCGTTTTTATAACGTAGAAAAACTATCGTAACGCAAAACTAAACCCTAACCCTAATACTAAACCTAACCCCCTAACCTCAACCTAACCCTAACCTAAACCCTAACCTAACCCTAACTTAGGGTTAATGATACATTATAACATAGCATTGTAGAGAATATAGAGACCGACGTTATAGAGACTGACGTTAGCAAATATAGGTGGCGTGGACGAGGGTTGATCGATAGTTTTAAATCCGAACACTACAGGAAAGTTGTAAGACTGTTAATATTAATATATCTTCAGAAATAAATTATTACATTGAACGACCGTTGAAAAGTCTACCTAATCGACCACCAAACGAGACGAAACTGCAATCGAAAGAAACCCCCGAAACGAGAAAAGAAAACGTGGAGAATCGTAGTGGCCAAACCCCGCAAACGGAACCCCCAACCAACGGAGGAAATGATGAGGATGAGTGGACAGTGAGGTATTTTAGAAGAAATTTGAGACAAAGTAGACCAAGTCGGGCAATTAACGGGGAGGAACACGGACAAAATTTACCTGATGAGGTCCAAGAAGACGTACAACATTTACCTGACGAATTACAACAGGATGGGCCATTGAGTTCAATGGAACAGAATAATCAGAGAGACGGTAGCGACGAGACATTACTAGAACCAGTAGAAGGAAACGAGGGACAGTCACAAGCCCCACCGGAAAGGCCAGCGCGAACGAGAAAAAACCCAGCTTGGTTACGGGACTATGAATAGCTTTAGCTATACATATATGTCGGACTGTACTGCATTTTTGCAGCTTAGTTATCTACTAAATTGTACTGCATTTTTGCAGCTTTGTTATCTATTAAATTTAGAGGGGAATAGTGTAGAGAATATAGAGACCGACGTTATAGAGACTGACGTTAGCAAATGTAGGTGGCGTGGACGAGCGTTGATCGATAGTTTTAAATCCGAACACTACAGGAAAGTTGTAAGACTGTTAATATTAATATATCTTCAGAAATAAATTATTACAGCATGAATATGACGCGTGCTCTGATTGGTCGAAACCCCTGTTTGGATCAGACCATCCAAACACGGAAATTTAAAGTGAAAGTTTTTTAAAGTGAAATTTTAACACGGGAAGTTGTTATTTTATATGCGCTTTTCTTAACTCTCGCAACATTCCCGCGTGTTTGGATCAGACCATCCAAACACGGAAACCATAAAGTAATTGTATAGTCATTGCCAGCTCTTGATAACCAGCACAGTCTCTTAATTTCTGTGATATATATCGTCAACCTTGCTCAAACCAATTTTTGACTGCAATGCGCTCCGCGGTCTAAAAAACATAATGTACGTATTCAAATTCCCGATGTTTAATATATACGATTTTTATCTTATAGACATAGATTTTCAATTGAAAATATACGTGATACAGGACCACGATATTCACCACAACAATTGAACTGGTTCAAATTTGCTTTAATTGTTCTCGACGAAATTCCCAAAGCTATGCGCCAGGTATTCAAGACGATGTGGAACAACAAATTTCCAGCTCAACTTTGGGATGATTCGGTTGCTGTGCGTAATCAGCTTCATAGGTTAGAGAGACATTCCGGACATTCGCCCAAAATACCAACAGGTAAATCGTATGAGGAGTGGGACTGTACTGAATTATTTCAAGCCACGATTTTTGCATCAACATTTACAGACCCGGCTACAGGGCAGACCTTATACGACAAGTATTTAAGGAGCTCAGTAGCACCGCCAGATTTATTTCGTCCTACAGTGACCAGCTCATCTGGAGTTCAAGATGAAACGTTTGCTTTAGCTATTGATCAACTACGACTCTTACGAAATGAAATTGTTCATTCCTGCAAGACCAACGTTCTTGACAATGCCACCTTCCATGTCTACATTGAGTATGCAATGATGGCATTCACTGCTCTCTATTACAACACAAGCAAGACTGATTATATTAATAAACTGCCAGAATCTAAGTTTCCCATTGCCAATATTGATGAGCTGGAGAAAAGAATCAAAGAAATGCAAAGTGACAAGAACAGATTTAGTTATACTGCAGGGATTCAAACTGCATTACTTTTAGCAATACTTTTAGCAATAATAGCAATTATTGTTGCCATTACACAACCTTAAGGAAAAACAGCAGTGAAATTTGATAGATCATCTTTATAGCTACAGATAATAAAATTGGTGGTCCGGACTTTTATTGTAGTATATCCCACATCACGATCGAGATCCATGCATTGATTTTGATAGAACATGGCACTTTTGAAAGTGAAATGTAATAAAGCTCGCTCTGGCATAGTTGCCTGGGCAAACAAATATTTTACGAACCTATACTTTTCGTATCATTGACTTGTATGCATTATATTGTCTGTGTAATATCTCTACTAGATGACTGTGGCAATTTTTCATAAGGCCCCAATACCCCCCTCGCTACGGCCCTGGTTTTCTTTTATTCTTTTCAAGTATTTTTACAACAAAAAATATGGAGATAGCGTAGCCAGGTTTAGAGATAATTAAAAATAAACGTTCTCTGTCTCTGACTAATATTTTTATTTAAAAAAAGCTTTCGACTACCTAACTGTAGTCTTCGACGGGTAAAGCGGAATCAGTACTTTACTGATTCCGCTTTACCCGTCGAAGACTACAGTTAGGTAGTCGGAAGCTCGTTTTAAATAAAAATTTTAGTCAGAGAACGTTTATTTTTATATTTTTAATTTTTCAACAGTTGAAAAAATTACTATAAAGACTATTCAGTGGATATCGTACAACTGGCCGGGGTCAGAAGAAAAAAATTGAATCGACAGACTTGCCTGAAACAGAACTTTATGTCTTTATGGTTTGGCCTAAAATAGTAAACATTAGGTACACACTATACACTGTGATGAACAATTGATGTCATTCAATGATAAACAACAATGTAAATTTATGATATACAATACTGAACGCCAAACAATGTTCATTTGTGTTCACGAATTTATAGTTTGACGTATATTAATGCACCTAGTCAGGAACCCCCAGACCCGGGCTTTTACCCTCATTTTACGAAGGAGTTGATCAAGAATTATTTCATGGTGTCCAGCGGATTTTGTTTGGTTTAACATTCCTCCTCATACCTCATTCCTCCTCATTCCTCCTCATATTGCCAAATGCCAATATACTGAAATGACAGAGAGCAACCGCTGAACCGCGTTATATAGCGACCTATAGCGTGTGTAAGTGTGTTATCATAAGAAAGTTAGTGTTTCACCCGAAAATATATATACAGACATCCAGAGAGTACACGGATTCTGGCGTTCTGAGAATAGTCGGTCTTCCGTAGTTTTCTTTCAAATGGTCTTGTAGACTTTTACAATACAGGGTGGCCTTACCTGGTAGAGTGGTAGATCTCCAAACTGCAAAACCTCTTTCAAATCAAAGTAAACGTCGCCCGCAGAACCGTAGTCATATAAATGCCGGACGATTCGGACGAATCCATCCACCTTTACTGCGATTAGTAATATGATACTGCCACGTAACCAAATTTGTATATTTTCGGACAACTTAATTTGTGGCGTGCTATAGTGAAAATATATACATGTGTGCGAACTAAAAAGGGAAATAAACATACAGGAAAGGACGAGTACAAAGATGGCGGCTTTCTACAGAATGACGAGTATTTTATATTTTGCTCTGCAGCTCTGGCGGACTGCATGGCTATGTATATAAGTCAAAATTCTCCGATAAAAACTTTTTGTTATATCTTAGAAGATTGCCCAAAGTAACATCGTAAAGCTTTTAGGTGAGTAACCGTGCATGCTTTTTTAATATTAATATCGATTGTCTATTCATAAATTATATACTGACTACTCATGTATAGGATGTCAAAATTTTGTTTACATATGGTACATTTTATGTATAGTCACAGCATTCACAACTATTATGTTACGTTAAAATTTTGTTATATGGTGCATTAGTCACAGGACATGTTAGGATTATAGGATTGCTTCATAAGCTGAGTTAAAGTTAATAAAATTTCTTTACAGATTGTATGTATTTTTCATTTAGCAATTAGAATACATTTATAAATGTGGGTACAGTATTTACCTCGGCAATTTTGTACCCATTTCATACATAACTCTTATTCTGTTTTTATTATAAGCAATGGTGGCTTTCTGACTGATCTGACAGTTGATTGCGGTGGAGAAGAAACTGCAATCTGAACATTAATTCTTTGTCATGTCATCAAATATAAACAAAGTGACTATACTGCCAGCAGCCGGGTATTTAGTGAACTGCCGGCTATATACTGACTATAGTTAAATGTAAAACTTTTGTTTGCGCTAGCTTTTACCGAGCTTGCCGTTAAGCCGGTTTTCCACTAGGCGGAATTTTGCGCGCGGAGCGGACTTTTTCTTTGTCTTGTGATTTCTCGGGTGGAACTAATTAGAAAAGACAAAGAAAAATTCCGCTCCGCGCGCAAAATTCCGCCTAATGGAAACCGGCTTTAGAGTATACGGTATAGGCGCTGCGTGCGGAAAGTGAAACGCCGGTTGGGTTGTGTTTTGTCTGACAACTTGTTATCGTACTGCAATTCAACAATTTGTCAGCAAGTTGTAAGTGAAGCGACAACCTTGTAGCAACTTGATAAAATAACAGCATCGTTACAAGTTTCCGGGGAAATATGGCCCAGGGTAAGCAAATTTAAATGGGAGGGGGGGAGGAAATTTCCTGACACCGGAATAGAACGGGAAGACATTTGATCCGTACGTACAGTAGGTGAATTAAGTCAGTTTTCCACTTTAATCGTATCGTACCGCAACGTAGCGTATTTCTTTGTTTCCTGAGCGGTAGTGTGGAACCAGAGGTGTAGAACTAATGACTTCGACACAAAAGAAAATGTTACGGTACGCTGAAGTGGAAGACAGGCTTAAATCAAGGATTTCAGGAGCTGTGTAACCAATCAAATTGCGCGAAAAGCACTATTCACCTGCCGGATAGCCTGCGATGCCCTCTCTTCTCCCGCCCGCACTAAACGCCTGTTACGCAGACTACCTCCCGGAGCAGAGCTCCCGGAGTATATGCTCAATATTTATGTCGGGACCTCTTTAGTCTGCGAACCCAGACGTCACGTGGGAAATGACGTCTGGGTTGCAGACTACACACGTAAAAACGCACAAGTTGTAACAAACCCAGGGGCGTAGGAAGCGGGGGCACGGGGGGCACGTGCCCCCCAAATTTTTTTAAAGGACTAAAAGTGCCCTTTTTTGTGATAAAAAGTGCCCTTTTTGTGTTGAAAAGTGCCCTTTTTTGTGAGGAAAAGTGCCCCTTTTGTAGAAGCTAATGTCGCTGTAAATACTAAATTAAAACAATAGGTGTCGTTTTTGTGTGGAAATTTACAAATTTTTTTTAAAAATTAGGTCACAAACATAAATTTCGGTATGATACGACGGAAAATTTTCCTCAGGAAAAATTTCTCCCCCCCGCCCCTCCCCCCCCCGTCGACAACATTTCCGGGAAAAATTTTTTAGGTGCCCTTTCCGATAGTAATGTGCCCCTACAAGCCGGTGCCCCCCAAACTCCAGGTGCTTCCTACGCCCCTGAACAAACCTGCAGCCGATTTGTCGCTATGCTGTTCCAACAACTTGTCAACAGGATGTATTCGCACCGCTTGTTCCCAGCTTGTTGACAAGTTATCAACGCCTTGTTGACAACTTGTTACAAGGTTGTTGAACTCAACAGACTTGTTACAAGTTGTTCCAACAACTTGTTTAAATATTGTCATGCGATTCGTCAACAAGTTGTGAATGACAACCTTGTAGCAACTTGATAAAATAACAGCATTGTTACAACTTGTTGAACGCGGCTTGCTACAGCCTACAAAGCTGTTGCGAACCCATCTTGTTGACAAGTTGTGAGATTTTTATGTGTGTAGGACTAGGACCACTGATCTGAATGACCAGGACCTCTTGCTCTCTCCCCGGGACCCCATACCACACTGCCCATAATAAGGCATACATGAAGTAACATGAAGTAGCTACCAAACGACGCAGGCTTAATCAAGATGGCGTCCACATCAGCAGCAGGACCACAATCTGTGGAATTATCTCAGCTTCCTTTACCTCAACTAGACAGCTTGAAGGCCCAACTTGACGAGGTATTGCTTTCATCTTTCATTTGCTATATTTTCTAAGTGTTCTATAATATTTTCCTTGTGATAATGAGATAATCACGTTCTGTGAGAAAGCTTCCTGAGTCTTTTATAGTCCTACTTTAAACCACAGTGTACCTTATAAATAATAAAGATCCTTATACTTATAAGTCAACTCGAAGTCAATAGCGATTAACTATTAAATTGATATTGTTTGGTTCAATTGGTATTTTAATACAACGAAGTGACTATATGACCGGCAGCCGGTCACGGTTTATAAAATACTAAATGGCCGGCAGTCTAGTGACTATTGTTAAAGTTTAATTTTTATAAGATAAACCTATCCCCAACCCCAAACCCTTTTCTAACCCTAACCCCTAACCCTAACCTTTTGAGAGTTAGAAAAGTCGGGAAAAAAAGTTTAAAAAATTTTAAGAAAAAACTGCTAAGTCAGACAAAACACATCGCGACCCCGACTGCGCTTAACTTTCCGCACGCAGCGCCCTTGCCGTATGAGCTAACGGCAAGCTCGGTAAAAGTTAACGCAAACAAAAGTTTTTATATTCAACTATAGTCACTAGACTGCCGGCTATTTAGTATTTGATAAACCGTGACCGGCTGCCGGTCATATAGTCACTTCGTTAATACAAATTAATCAAACAATGATTTGCAAATTACATCAAGCACGTATAAGTGTATCTAGACAGAATTGTTTATTGTTAGCCATTGGGGCGCCAGCCTATGACTCTAAATTTGCCCTTTGGTTTATGTCAAATGTCGGATTTTTTCAGCTCATTAGCCTGTGTAGCAACCGTTTTTTGGTGGGAGGACTTGTGGGTGGAAATATTACCTAGGGTGTAAAAAAAATACCTGTGGTTCCGGTTCCCGACCGACCCTATTTTTTTTCTGCCGACCCTATTATTTTTTCAACGCGATTGACTGTGCGACCCTATTTTCTCCAGGTGGTTGCGGGCCGCTCATATAGCGTGCCAAAATGGTGTCTGTTGCCACACTAATTATTGAACCAAATTGCCTAAATTCGTCCATAGGAAATACGCATCTCTAGTTAATATTGATGTCAAGATTCTACTGCAAATCGCCCAACAAAAAACCGCCAAAACCATGAAAAAAATATTTAAAAAAAAAATTTATTTCCGACCTACCGACCCTAATTTTTTCACGATATGAGACCGGAACCACAGGTATTTTTTTTTATGCCTAGTGCAAACGGGGCACTGGGTGGAACGAATGGGCAGGTGGGAAAATCTTCTGCCAGTTTTCCATATATTTTTCATTGACATGAAATCGACATCCAGGTAGTCATAATGAGTTCACAATTATTGGAGCTCACCTGTTTCCATGTTTGTGTTTGTGCACAATAAGTGAGCCAGAAAAGCTGTACAAAAAGGTAGATCTGAGAGTGTGACTTCAGTGACTTTTGCTGCCTGCAGGCTGTCTAAATGTCAGCTGAAACTTAAATTTGGGAACTTTGAGAAAACCTTTTGATGTACAAATTGCTTGGAGCAAAATGCAACCATTTTTGACAAGTTGTCTCCCAGAAGCTACAATATTTTAAAAATATATATTTGGAAATTTTCGTTGGGCAACAACTTGTACAAGATTTATAAAGTTCTTATTGGCAAATGTAACTAATGTTATTCAATTTTTATGGTATTTCATTTTGAGATAATTTATTATAAACTTCATGCAAAGTTGACATAGTAATTTTAAACATGTTTGTGTTCAATTGATATCGTGTTTGTAGATGAGACAGCATTTAGAATTAATTTTGAAATAGCAATGGCAATTATTGGCTTGTGGGACAAATTCACCATTCTTATTGTAATAAATTGTGAATGTATAGTAACAGCGGAGACTCACTTGCCCTGACTTGTTGCCCTGAATGGCTGATAGATAAGTTAGGGTGACGGGGTCTGAAATTTGCAATATCCGGGAAACCACAGGATACTAAAATTTGGTTTTGGACAGTCAAACTGCAAATGATTTGTATATTACAAAATTTCGAACATTAGGATAATATTAAATGTCTCTGGCAGTCTCCCAATAGCTTTGAATACTACAGTATGAGTCTGCTTCTTCAAAATAACAAGCCTTTGTTATAGACAATGTTATGGACTGTTGACTGTTGTTATTGGAAATTATAACAATGAGAGGTAACAAGTATCCAGAAGTGGGATACTGGGTTCTCAGATGGGATACTAGAAGTTTGCATTTAAAAAATTAAATAAAAAAAATTCAGACCCTCTTGGTGTTAAATACATGGACATGTACTTATCCTGATATATTCTTGAACTACAGTATTTTTGATCTTACATACAGTAACTATATTTAAATGGTGAACAAATTCGTTAAGGCCCATTTACACGATAGGATTTGTTGCATGTATACGATTGTCATTCTGACGAATGAAAACGAGTGCTAATGCCACGTTATTGCTCATTTGCTAATGGCGAAATTTGAAATGTGACGTTTGTACCAGGGTTGCCAGATTGCTGAATAAATAAGCCAAATATTATTATCATAACCTTTGTTTTCTTTGTTCGAAACAAAGACATCAAAGGGCCGTTTATAACAATGTTTGGCTTATTTATTCAGTAATCTGGCAACCCTGGTTTGTACGCGTGTTTATTCGATCACATACGCCAGGGTACGAATCGTATACAACTAATCGTACCGTGTAAATGAGCCTTTACAAATCTTGTACAAGTTTTTTGGGTAGTGAAAACTTCCAAATAAATTTTCAAAATATAGTAGCTTCTGGGTGGCAACCTGTCAAAAGCAGTTGCAATTTACACACCCACATTGTAATGTTGTGATGCAACAGATAAAATAAATTATGACGTCAGCTTACAGTAATAACTTTTTGCCAATCTCATATTTCCATCCAGTCCACCAATGGACTGGCAATGAAAAATATATGGAAAACCAGCAGACGGTTTTTCATGCTCACCCGTTCTTTCCACCCGCACAATGTTTGACCACTGTAGGTAGGAAGCTTCAATTTGTCCCTTTCATCCCGCAATTACCCCTATATGCTTTAATTTATACCTGTAAAGTGCATGGAGGGAATGGGAGGTTAAACTTCCTCCCCTGATAGGTCCTATTTTGTATTTTACTCTGTGTATGCTTAATGTTGTATTTATATTCCAATGATGCTTCGGAAATTTAGGAAATAAGGATTTTATCAGAGTCAATAAGTCATCTGAAAATTGCTCAGCAAAAGTTTGTTGATTCAAAGGAAGCTGTCAAGAAATTACGTGAAAAGAAAGGTAGGGACATGTTCAACACTGTTAAAGAACAGGGCTGTTTAACATATAAACTGGAGGTGCGGGGGGGGGTGCAAGACACCTCACAGGTCCTGTGATTATCTAATGTGGCTCAAGATATTCTCAATCTCATGACTACAGAAAACGAAGAGACATGACTGTATGTTTTGTTGTTTAAGTTATTTCCATGTCAGGTTGCCTGAACTTACATTGCAGCTGCAAAGCGATATATCCAGAGTGCATTTCAACTTTGGATGTGATATTAAACGTTAAATCTAAACCCTCTTAACAGCTGACAGCACGTTTACAGGAAAAGTCTTATTTTGTCTAACGACCAGATTCTTACAAAGCGATAAAGAAAAGAACGTTAGTATTATCGAATATTCGTTTTGAAGAGAGCAAATTAAAGGAATATCCATCGATTTTTCATCCATCCTAAACCAGGCAATGGCTACTATATGGTGGTCAATTCTGATTTTATAACTTCGTGAGGGTAATATTTGGATGGCAATTTAATAATAACTTCGTGAGGGTATGAAAGTGACATCCAATTCCCCAGTCTTTAATGATTGACCGATTGTGCAGCAATTGGAAATTACCAATTACCGCTTATTCATACCACAATATACCTGATCCCGATTTTATAATGACGTCATAATATCAATCGACCAAGTAAAGGTGACGTCATTCATGTAGATTTGTTAACGTTAATTTCCAACATAACATGTCACTGCAACCATAGATCGTTAAAACCGTTAATAAATGGCACGCTTCACGCATTAGTTTAACATACTGATATTGCGTTAGAACACAACGTGACGTGTATCAACGTGCAATGCATATCATTTTTAAAGTGCGTATTCTCTCCACAATCGGTTTTAGACAATCGGAAATAAAGATAATTCTACCGATTCCGATTGTCTACCGATAAGACAAAAATCTGCCCGATACCGATTATCGGTCAATCATTACCAATCTTTGGTTTCACTTTTCATAGTAAACGGATTCAGGAAAAGAAATACTCTTTGATAAGGGTGGACCATTAGATATCCTGGGAGGGTGGAGGGGAAATTTTCCTTCCAAGAACTTTTTTAAGTTTGGAGCTTTGTTTGAACCTTCCTTTTTCGACATGATTTTTTTCAAATTGCACTCTTCATGATTTTGGGGAGTTTCCCCCCCCCCCAAGATATGTAATGGCCAAGCCTTAAATAGATCTCTCCGTTTTTAATAGGTACAGAAGTGTTGGTGCCTTTAAGTGCATCGGTATCCTTTGTAACAATAAATTTAACATAAGCCTGATGAAGGAGAGTAGTAAACAGGTGACGGGCAATGATCAGTAGTCAGTTACTCCACTCTGCCAGTCTTTGAAAACATGAAAAAGAACAATGTTTTGAAGATGAAAAGTGTAGATAAAGAAAATGCGTCCGTAAAGTAAAAAATACTCAGAATCCTGAGTGTCGAAGCTAATATTCAGACGGGTGTGTGTATTGGGACAACCTAAACACTACTAAACAATTCTTAGATGAGTCAGAGTATAATATCAACAATTATCCAGTCCAAGGTCAATTCTGGTTGTCTACAATCTTTGACCAAACCCTTCGGGGAGTAGAGGCTCATTCACCTTATTAACACCAGCACCCCCATAACAATGTGGTGTTATGGTAATGAACTGTGTCATGAAGACAGCAGTGAGCTTGAGCAAGCGACGTTTTTCTCAACACGGACGTCACCCGAAAATTGGTATAACTAATTTTGGCGGCATGTTGCAACATAGCGCTCGTGCAGGGAAGCAAAAAACTTTAAAAGTCTTATGTTTTGTCATATATGTGTTGAAATTTACTACAAACTGATACAAACACAGCTTTTAATCTAGCCCCCGCTTGGCAATCTGACGTCCGTGTTGACAGAAACGTTGCTTGCTTAAGCTCGGCAATGCAAGACATTCTCAGTGAAAACATGATCTATCATATATCGGGAGGGGATATATTTGGCTATATTTATGAAACTTGAAGTAGAATCACTGCAACGCTGACATTGGTATTACGGACTCCAAAGAGCACATGCATGTTCTTGCGAGCGAAGACTTAGTGATTAATATTGTATTAACATTGATTCGAAATAGAAGCTTTGTTAAACGTTGTACAGCATGTACGTAACATGTATATTTGGACAAGGTTGAATATTGGTATCGTCACTTTTAGAAGGCGAGCGGTTGGTTATTTTGAGTCATATATTAGTGGATTATAATGATACGTTATTTTCATGGCCAGATTTTGAGGGGAGGTGTGCACCTCCCTGAGATCGTTTTGCACCTCCCCTGAAAAGTCATGCACCTCCCCTTGGGAAAGTTTCAATGATAGATTAATGTGAAAATTTGATGGTTGCTTAGGTTCTACACTTCGTAAGAAAGTTTTTTCTGTAAAATTGAAACAGTGATAGCCATTCATCTCTGTGTCAAATACCCATTTAATGCAATGTTTTGAAAGAAACTTTGTAGCAATTGTAACGAAGGGCAAAATGGATGAGTCGTACAGTCATAATGCAATAATACACTGATTCATATGTACACTATATGCATACGTCACGTCGTTGACTTTGGCCCGTTCTACAGAAGCTCTAACTTTCCATGGGAGTCGTGAGCTAGACCGCTGCACCTCCCTAAATGTTTTCCCACCTCCTCCACTATTTCCACCAAAGTCCAGCCTTATATGGTTATTTATTTAATTCATCCAGTAAAACCTGAACCTTCCATTAATGAGGATGGACCATTAGAAAAATGGAGGGAAGGGTGGGGAGAAAACAAAAAGAAATTGCGCAAGGGAAAACGGAAGAAGAAGAAAAATCATGCAAGAAGGAAAGCTAAGAAAAAAGCCTTTAAGATTCGGTAAAAAATCCGAAATTTCCCACCCCTCATCACTTTTCTACTGGTACGTTCCTAACATTGCAATACAAGAAAATATAGTGAGGGCAATTTTGTGGGAACTTGTATCGGGAATATGGCCTGAATTCCGATAAATGATTCTTCATTTATCCTTAACATGTGTCAGCTCTATGTTCCAGGTCAACTGGAAAGCACGGATAATGTTCTAGTTGATATTGGCACTGGTTATTTTGCAAGCAAGGTAGGTACATGTAATCCTCCCACAACTCCAAACTTCATTTTAATGAATTAAACTCGATAGTGATATACGATATACAAGCTTTTACTTTAGATCATTATGCATTTGTGACGTAAATTGACGGATATTTGCATGCCAAACAAACTGAAATATCTCAGAAACAAAGTGAGCAAACGAAAATCTTCAAAATAAGTTATTATATCATTTCAGAAGAACTGTATAATATGGATATACTATGGATTTAGTGATGCAATCGCAAATTCCACAGTATGAATTTCACTTTTTTCCAGTGAATGGTTTTCCGTGCAGGATAGGGTCATTCATCCATGACTTGGGATGTTGCACGACTTTCGGAAAACGTAAAAAACACTGGCCTGCGGCTTGAAAAACATACGGAAAACTATTTGGTATTCCCTTAATCGGGTAGATAGCGTTATCCAGTATCTATCCTTAGTCAGTACAACCGGCCCCAGAGTGTATCGAGATATGTAGAAGGACCATACATTTGTACTGTACCTTATTACCTTACCAATTTCCAATGCCTCTTTTTGTTTTTGTACATAACGCAGTCCTTGGAAGGAGCTGAAAAATATTTTCTACGAAAAATAGAATTCCTTACCAAGCAGATTGAAAAAGTTCAACCTGGGCTAATCGAGAAGCATAGAATACGACAAGGTAAATGGAATTGTAAAAATACGACATGATCCAGTATTATGATACATTGATACAATATGAACATGTTTTAATTTATGATTGCATGAGTTCCGTAAAAAAAATTATCAGTGTTTGCGACAGCCTGGTTCCTCGGCTTTTTCGCGTCCGCCTTACTATTTTAGGGTGGTATTTTGACAAGGTTTGCAGGTTAACTGGGATTAAATTGGGATTTTTCGTTCGGATATTCATTTTCAAAGCAATTCACTCGTGACATTTATGACATCGTCCCTCAAACGAAAAGCTGATATCGCCTCCCCCCTCATTTGATAATCTACATATGAATTGAACACGCTCAGAAAGCAATACAAAGCATCATCTTAAATATAATTTCACCTCAGTACATAAAACACCTATAGGGCCACATAAAATAAGTTCCTTGATTCTCATCACTGCCCGACTGTATTTTAAGAGCCTCGTGAAATTTTTTTATATTTCATATCATTACACAATATGAATGTACCGTCCGACAAAATATTTCAAGACAATTAAGTTTTTTATATTTTATATTGGGTTTTTAGTGTAATTTTAAACTGCTAATTTCAAACAAACAGAACCTTGAAAGAAATTGCATTGCATTTTAAAGGAAATTCGCATTCAGTTCAAGGGTTCAGTCATTGTTTGTGGAGATACGTTGGAGATGACAGAAATGTGTAATGTAGTATGTTCATTTCGGTTTGTGAAACTTCACTTCGGAAATCAGGGAAATATTAAATGTTAGGAATTATTTTTTATTTGTTGATATATAAATTATATAAATATAAAATATAAACCTCCCGCCTGTTCGACATTTTCAAAGAGTAGTGATGAGAATCAAGGAATATAATTTATGTGGCTAGTCTAACCTTAATATCGAGATAATCCCGCTTTTTTTTCTCTTTTTCAGCAATCATAGACACTATGTCTGCTAAAGTGAGAGGTCAGATGTCAAGCCAGCTTCCAGCTGCAAAGGCATAAACATGAAGAAACATATAATAGCTGTATAATTAATTGTCTATATCGTCCGCAGGGCTTTTAGCATTTGCATGCGAGAAAAAAGGAGGAATGTTGATCGTTTAGTTTTTGCTTGTTGACTAACTGTTTTCCGACTAAGAGATTACCAAGGTCATTCGAATATGATCTATACAAACAGAGATTTTTCAGAAGTTCTCCAAGACGAGTAAAATCGTTAAAGAAGAAAAAAGTTTTGACGAAATGTCATTCTGAGGTCAGCGAAATAACTTCTTCCATATATATGACGGTAAAGATCGTGAAACTCTTTGGCTGTATGTCTTTTAAGTTTAGAAACTTTCTATTCGATATTCCAGAGACGTGGTATTGACCATGGAGCACTCTTTCTGTTTTTAGTGCAAAGTTGCTTTGCACTATTGTTATGAGAAAAATTAAATCCAGTGACCGATCGATGGATCTATAGTGTAATGCTACTTCCTTCGTAATAGTGTAATTCTACTTCCTTCGTAATTTGCATATCACGTTGAAATATGTCTTCTGCAGTAAACAGTAAATTATATTACGCGATGCTGTAAATCCCCAAATCAAAGAATATGGTAGGTTGTTTGCAACTTGCCTCAGTTGCTGGCTATAAATCAAAGTCTGTCGAAGCATTTAGCGTAATGTTGACTTGACTTTAGTTAGTGACCATTCTGCATTTTCAGTATCTGTACAGAGGTTAGTTTCTACGGAATTTGTCTGTTTAACTCAAAATAAGAATACCGCACTATTGCTACTAGAAACAAACGAAAATGCAGAAAAGGTAGTAACTTACACCAGGCAAACACTACACGATATTTCAACAGACCGTGTTCTGCAACCAGCAATCGAGGCAAATTGCAAACGACTGCCAATATTCTCTGATTTTGCGATTTAAAGCATCGCGTAATATAATGACTGTTTACTACCGAAGCTATATTTCGACGGGTTATGTATTAATGATATGCAAAGTTAGTAAGGAAGTAGAATAGTCATGTCCGTGATTTCTGGCTACGTTTTATTACGTTTTCTAGAGCTTCGCGACGTTCGGCCAACTATCGTTTATCAACCTCGTTCCCAGGGCTTTCGTCTCTCCCTCGTCCTCATACAAAAGCCCTGGGAACGAGGTTGATAGTTTATAGCTGTTTATTGCTGTTTATAGATTATAAAAATCTGTATTTATATTCATGATGGTACATGTTACTTATTTTATCCAACATTTAGAGAAGTTTTAACCAAATTACTGTTACATTTCAAGCACTTGTTATTATATGATTTGCCCCCCTGCAACATAAAACAAATAAATAAATACACGTCCTCTCATATAATATATTTTACAATGGCGAGCATAGACGAGCTGTGACCATTGAGTGGCGGTGTGAAATCGTGTAGACTAGAGTGTATTACAACTGAGGTTGACAGTATTATGAGAAAATCTTTGAGATTCTACCCAATATATAAATTGATGTTATGCATTACGGGCATTCAGTTAAGTGCTGATATTATTTTGACCGTATATTCATTAAACGGAGCTAGGAAGGAGCGAGACAGTGTTGTTTTAAAATGTATAAACATTTCAGACGTAAATATTGAGAAAATCATTGAGATTCCACGCAATATATAAATTGATGTTATTTACCAGCATTCATTTAAGATACTATTTAGACGGTATAATTATACAGCGACTGTATCACGGCGAATCGATGGCTACACTCAGTACAGTGTATGATTCGGTATGATTGGATGGTGCATCAATGCCACACAGAGCGAAAAATTGCATCAGATCAGTAGAGCGTAAACTACTAACAGAAGCGGGTGTGAAAATAACTTGCGACACTAAAGGAGTAAAGAAAACCTCTTGATTCGTCAGAGCTCTCTATTTAAACGAGAAAGACGAGGAGATAACCAACGTGTTATCGCCAATCGCAAATTGACTTGCCAGCAAGGTACACGCGTAAAAACGCACAAGTTGTTACAGGTCTGCAAACAAATTGTTACAAATCTGTTCACAAGCTGTCAACAAGTTGTCTTCGCACTGCGTATTCCCAGTTGTAACAAGTTTGGAACAAGCTGTTAACAACTTGCTACAAACGTGATGGCATTATCAGACTTGTTACAAGGTTGTTCTAACAAGTCTGATATAGTCATGATATAACAAGAATGTTACAAGGTTGACGACACAAGGTTGTAACAATATTGTTATGTCAGGACTGTATCGGACTTGTTGGAACAACCTTGCCACAAGGCTGATAATGTCATCAGACTTGTTACAAGACACAAGTTGTTAATAGCTTGTTCCAAACTTGTTGACAAATTGGGACATGCATGCAAGCAGTGCGAACACAACGTGTTGACGGCTTGCATGTTAGAAGACTTGAGGCCCCCCGTGAAATTTTTTAAGTGTGGCCCTATTTTTCCCCGAAAAAGGTTGGCGAGCGGGGGGTGAGATAAAAAATTTTTCGAACCATATTCCTTAAAAATAAGGTGTTTAAAAAAATTTTCCCGACTATGACAAATAAAAAAAATCACAAAATTTTTTCCCTACCATGTCTACCAAAAAAGGATTCCAAATTTCACCAATTCCTGCTTTTGGTGGCCACCTGTGGCAAGTTTTCTGACCCTCTATAATTGAGGCTCGGGCCAATGTACTAGCAAATATTTTATGGTCATTTTTTCGTTGTGGTGTGGACACCAACATAATTTTTTTCGATCACTAATTATCGTGTGTTTACAAGTTATCGTTGTGTAGTGTGTCCTGGGCCCTAGGGTCCTCCGCAGGCATCCCGTGGTTCACGTACTTTACAAAGTCGCCGCTACAATTTTTTTTGCATGCAAGCAAATTTTGCCCGATAATCTAAAGGCGATAAACGGTTAGGTTAAAATGCGGAACGGATCCACGGAACGGATATGGGCCCGACAAATACAAATTCTTCCTTTTTTCGATAATTTTAATATGCATCGCGCTTCCCTTTCATCATTTTCCCAATTTTTAAAGTAGAATTTGCCCGATTTGTAAGTAGAATCTGCCCGACTTAAAACGTCTATGGCTTTACGTTGTGGGAGTAAAGTCTATGGTTTGACTGTAGATTTCAGTCCAAGGAACCATTCAAGCCCAAGCTTCTCACAAGGCCTACCAGTGCATGTTTTATTCAATTTTATATATTTGCATGGGGGTCCACCGTTGGCCGCGACGTTATTTCCCGTAGAATATCTGCCTCGTACCCAGGCGTTTTAAAATTTTAAATATAATACATGAAGTATTCAGGCCGGCAGGCGAGGGGCTGTTGGGAAGGGTGCGTCAAGTGCATTCTTCCCATCAACCCCTTCGCATTTCTGTCGCCACTATAATACTTCATGTAAACTCGGCATACGCGCATCGCTGTTTTTTTACAAAGAGACGGCTAGGTACGAGGCAGGTAGAATATCAAACAGAAGAAATTACTTCCGCGACGTTTCGAGCAAAAAGCCCTATCTCAGGGGAGTTAGTAGGATCAAAGGCCGTTGAGGCCGACTCACACGGATATGATCAAATAAAATATATCAATAGAGCAGTTTAATAATATTCCAAAGTAATAAAATTAGTAATATTCCAAAGTTTCGTTGCGAAATGTTGTAAAATGCGGACTTCGCAAGGCTATATTATCCGCATTTTACAACATTTCGCAACGAAACTTCGGAATATTACTAATTTTGTGATGCTCTTTCAAGCTGTGATGAAATTTGTGTCTAGACTTGTTTAGATCAAAATTTAGTCTATAATGCAAATGTCCATTGAAACCCCGGCCCCCCGACCATTGACTGTTAAAGTTACCGCCCCTATGGCCCCGGCACTTTGCAAATTTTCATGACTTGGGAAATGGGAAATCGTTGAAGTATAAAATGTTCACAACATGTGAAGGCAATTCTTGATCTTAAACTTTGATCCGCATCAAAAGATACTGAATAATCTACGTTTCGACTATCTTGCAGTCATCATCAGGAATATATATAAAAAGTGAAAATATATTCCCTTTTTTTTAAGAAAAACTATGAGGAAACCTGATTCTCTGATTTCGAAGATTCCGCCATGTTGCCACGAGGATAAACTCGTTCCAGTCCACTTTCATATCAGCCGCGTGTTAAAGTCCCCGCTATTGTGCCGGCTAATAAATTGACTTGTTATTTACCCTGTACCCCGGGGGAAATGGTGCATTATTACAGCATTAAGATAGCGTTAATCCCCGCCCTGTTCCGGGGGGGGGGGGGTTTCAATTGACTAGCGCATAACCCAAATATCGGTCGATAGAGGCGAACAGGTGATAAGCCAACCTCGTACCCAGGGCAAGTCAATTCGCGACTAGCCCTGGGTACGAGGTTGGTGATAAGCATTATAATTAAATTTGCAGGCACAAGTATAAACCCACTCCTGACCAGTGGTGCCTAAATTACTTTGAATTTGTACTCGAGTAAAAGTAGAAGTAATTAACAATAAAACGACTTGAGTAAGAGTAAAAAGTACTGGAAGCAAAACGTACTTAAGTAAAAAGTACGAAGTATCCTTAAAAAATACTTGAAGTACAAAGTAAAAGTACTATTGTCTGTAGCGTGTAGGGGAGGGGGAGGGGGAGGGCTTCTCCAATGGATTGCCATACAAAAGACACAAAACAGCACGAACACGCATTATATGCGTGCACCGAATATACAATATTTCACGGCATGGTTTACTTTCAAGACCCCGTTGAAGATATAAGAAATCCATTAAATAAATAATGCTTATAAGTAACTAGCCACAAACGAGAGATCCCAGACGCGTGTAGAGGTCGTATTACCAATCCAAAAATTAAAATAAATCAGAAATAAATCACTTAAAATTAAACAAAAGTTAGAAAGTAACGAAATGATACTTCGCCACAAAATTACAGCAAAATAACGAAGTAAAACGTTACTTCTTAAAACGACTTCGTTCCAAGTAAAAGTACTGCAGAAAAAGTTTACTTTGTTACATTCTGACTCCTCAAAAATTGTACTTAAGTACAGTAACGAAGTACATTTAGGGACGGACCATTTGATTTTTCATGGGGGAGGGGCGCAAATCCGAAAAAAAATATGGAGCATGTCTCGAATGGAAGAAAAAAAAATCGAACATCACTAACACCAGCAAAAAAAAATATCGAGCACAAAAAATTCTAAATTAGCAATACTCTATATTGAAAGAAAAATTCAGTTTCCCTTAGTTTTTTTCTGTTGAGTGTTTCGGTTCTGCCTTGGTTAACAATACCGGAAGTATACATGCAAAATACAAACCGATACAAACCAGTTCTGACAACTTTGAATTCAATAATTCAATTATCCACAAATTACCTTAATGGTATCCCTAAAAACCCCAATCTTAACACTGAAAGTCCCACACTTCTGTAAATTCGACATCGATTAATGAGGGTGGGAAAGGGGGGGGGGGGTATGATTCACGTTTCACAACAAAACAATACCGTTTCACAATTCACGTGCCATAGTAAAAAAGCAATTTCACATTTCACGGATAACGAGACTCTAATAAAAATAATATAATAATAATAGCTTTAAGATTATGTTTAATGCATGGTACAGTACTACGCTTTAAGTTCTCTTCTCTGCCTGGCAGTTAAAAACTACTTACAAGTTTGAATGATGAGTACGTCCGACGATCTCCGAAAGGCCTCCGAAGTTTCTACTCTTGTGCAATCGAGTGAGATCGATCATATAAATTATTATCGCGTATTATGTCCATTATCACTATTATAAAATAGATCGGAATAAACAAATCAGAATCACAGTTCACGAAACAGACATCCTTAATTCCCATTTCACGGAGCATTTTTTGATCGACAATCACGCCTCACGGTTGTAGAACAGCCCCCCCCCCCAATAGGCTGATGGACTGCCCTTGTAAAAAGATGAAATCCGGGTAGAAATTAGGGGGGGACGATGACTATACCCATGTGACTACCAATCTCATCTGTTCACCAAATTCAGTCTATAGAAGTTCTAATCTTTCCTAAATCTAACTACAGAAAATAATGCCTATGGTAGTTATTGTATTGTATTGTATTTAAAACTTATTTTAAGACGCTGGCCCCATCAGCTACAGACTGGTTTTCATGGGGGGCGTCTACTACACTATATTATACTAAATTAACAAGACTATTGACTATATTACACTATATATTTACAAGAAGAAACTATTACTATTTACCAATTACACTATATACAAAAGGAAAAAAAAAGAATAACAAACTAGATCAATATAACAGCACACACTATTGATAACTGCTTAAAGACGTATTTAAATAGATAAGTACTAGTTTTCGATTTCGATTAACCTCTTGAAAGTATAAATCGTAGGAGCACTCTTGGCATCATAAGACAGACTATTCCATAAGTTAGCTCCTCTATATTTAAAACTCCTTTTTAGAAATTCTTTTTTAGGTTTTGGAATTGAGAGGTCAGTATCATATCCTCTCAAATTATAAACATTATGGTCACTCCGTGCAGAAAATGTTTCGCGAAGGCACGGGGCTGTGCCATTTCTAAGGATGTTGTATACCATAACCGCCTTGTTGAATTTAAATCTGGTATCGAGATTTTTCCAATTGAGCCATTCAAGGAGTTCAGAGGAATTGGTATCATAGTTTGCTCCCGTCAGAACCCTTGCTGCTCTATTTTGGAATCTTTGCAATTTTTGTTTTAGTAACGCCCCACAATTATCCCAAAGGGGAGAGCAATAATCAAAATATGGTTGAATTAATGCTTTGTAGATGGTGTGCAAGATCTCATTTGGGACAAATGATCTAGTACGTTTTAATATTCCAATTCCTGCACTAACTTTTTTACAGATTGAGTTAATGTGAGTTTCCCAACTTAGGTGTTCGTCAAGTTCAACTCCCAAACACTTAAATGACCGAAAACGAACCAATGGTTTGTTATTAAAAATCACCAATTTATTGCCAATTTTGTTCCAAATATTATATGGCGAGCCTATAAACATTAATTTTGTTTTAGTAGCATGGTGTTGCAATTTGTTGTCCGACAGCCATTTGCTAATATTTTTCAAATCAGAATTCAATAGATCTACCAATTCATCATAGTTATGAGATGAAGCATATATCTGTGTGTCATCGGCGTATAAACCCGCCGTAGTATATTTTAAATATTTTGGCAAATCATTGATATATATATAATAGGAACATCAAAGGACCAAGAATTGATCCTTGGGGCACTCCACTCTTTATTGTTTTACGGGAAGAGAAATGATCATTAATACAACAGACTTGCTCACGGTTTGTCAGATAAGAACCAAACCAATTTAACTCATTATCATAAATACCAAACTGATTTTTCATTTTAGACATTAAAATTTCATGATCAATAGAGTCAAATGCTTTTTTAATGTCCATTGAAATAAGGCCAGTTATTTTGCCATCATCCATGCTTTCTAACCATTTGTCACACATTTGGATAAGTAAAGATAAAGTTGAGTGTTTGGGTCTAAATCCAGATTGAAATTTTGAAAGAAGTGAATTTTCAGATAAATAGTCATAAAGTTGCTTAAAAATTTCCTTCTCGAAAATTTTACTAACAACAGGAAGAATAGAAATTGGACGATAGTTCTCACATTTACTTCTGTCATCAGATTTATACATTGGCTGTACACGTGCTAATTTCCAATCAGTAACAAATATGCCAGTACGTAATGAAAGATTAAAAATTTTTGTTAGAGATGGGGCAATTATATCAGCTGAGATTTTGAGAACCCTAGCTGGAATTTTGTCAATTCCAGTCGATTTCGATACTACCAATTGTTTTAAATTGTTAAGAACTTGCTCATCACTTATAACAGAAAAACGAAAAGTTGTATCAAGCCAATCATTAGAGTCTCTATTTTCCGATCTCTGAAAGCTACGTTCATTTTTTTCTATCTCAATAGCTAGGGAAGGACCGATGCTAACGAAATAATCATTTAATTGGTTTGCAATTGAAACTTTGTCGGTGAAGACATTATTATCACTCCTTATTTCATTAATGATAGTAGATTTTGAATCTTTTCCTAACAAGTTATTGATAAGTGACCAGCTCTTTTTAATGTTCTTATTCAGTAAACACTCAGAAATTTTTGTATTATAATAGTTAGCCTTAAGTTTTTTAATTTCAGCATTAATTTTATTTCTAATTGTTTTAAACTTTTCCCAATGTAATTCCGAATTAAATTTGTTGAACATTGCTTTATTAAAATCTCTTTCTCGCATTAACTGTTTAATGGAGGCAGTTATCCATGGGATTCTCTTAGTTCTAATATATTTCCTTAAAATTGGCGCGTGTCTATCAAGTACCTCAAGAAATAAGGATTTCCAAACAAACCAGCTATCATTTGGATCATTAAAATTATTTGCATATTCCCACGGAATGCTTGATAGGTCTTCCAAAAATAATCTTTCATTAAAATGCTTAAAATTTCGAACTTCCTTGGAAATCCGTTGACCCTTATGATGAGCCATTTTTTTAACTACATAAATTAAATTATGATCCGATATTCCAATTTCAAGTACTCCGTGACTATAAACACTATCAGAATTATTCACTAGAATTAGATCAATTTGAGTTGCAGATGATTTAGTGATCCTTGTAGGCACATCAATAATTTGCTTAAGTTGGTAGAGCGAACAAATACTTTTTAATTTTTGTGTATGATTGTCCACCGGAGATTTATTCCAGTCACAGTTTAGATCACCTAGAAGAATTAAGTCTTTATTTTCTACATCACATTGTTTAATGAAATTTTCAAAGCTGTCGAATAAATTCACATTTGAATTCGGTGGTCTATACCAAGCGCAAACTAAAAAGGATTTACCATATTGTCTATGTACTTCAATGCACACCATCTCAAGATGTTTAGGAATTAGTTCATTGCGCGTTCGAAATGAAAAGCAGTTTCTGATATACAACAAAACACCCCCACCGTGTCTGTTGCGATCCCTTCTGCACGTAACGTATCCTGGTATTTTAATTTCATTATCATAAACGGATTCATCAATTTTAGATTCATTAATCGCTAAAACATCTAAAGGATTTTTTTCCAACATTATTCGAAGCTCATCGATATGTTTCAAGAGGCTATTTATATTGAGACTAGCAATTCGAAAACCTTTGGAGTTAGCAATTTCGTTAAGAGGATTCACAGATGTAGGGTTATCATTGTTAGTATTATTACTAGTACTAGTAGAATAACAATTTAACGAGTTCGTCTTCGTAGTGGCATTGGAGTCTGTGTTAGAGCTACCAAGTTCAACAAATCCCTCAGAAAATTTTCCGATGGGCTATGAGTACCAGCAGCAGTTGCCTGATTGTGTACTTGCTTATTTGGGTTCAGGGACTTAATAAAACGCGTTGCTAAGAGAGCAGACCCTTTTGTATTTAAGTGCAGTTTACTGCCATTTAAACTAGATTCATCTATGATTGAATTTTCAATAAAAGTATAACCTAGTTCATTACATAGGTGTTCTAGTTGAGTATTTACCTCATCAATTTTTCCTGATACGTCAATGTCTTTTCTTTGAATTATACTTGAGAGCCCTAGCTTAGCATCAGGAAATCGTTCTTTAACTCGAGCGCATAAGCCTTTGACACTCTTTACACATTTGCTGCTCGAGTCCATCGGGAGATTGTTTGTTCCTGCGTGAATAATAACATGAGTTGTACTCGTAGGTGATTGTACGCTTATATTTTGGATTTCAGAAGCAATTTCCTCAGTTGTTTTGCCTGGATATATAAATTTGTTAACTCGTTTTCTTGACAATTTCCGAGGGTTTATATTTTTGACCATAGAGTCGCCGATGAGAACGATATTCGATTTGCTTTCAGAGTGTTTATACACTGTTTCTCTTTGGGTAGTTTCTTCTTCTACGCTAAGTGGCGTATAACGATTATGAGTTGGGATATGGGTTGAATGTTTAACTTGATCATCGCTGTCTATCTCAGGTTCTTCGGCTTCGTTATTTCCTATGTCAGTGTTTGATGTAGTAGGTCTATTGTTGCTTATTTGAATGCTTGGTTTTAGGGCATCTTTCATCTGTGCCCGTGTTGTGCATTCATCCGCTCCATTGGGCCCGCTTTGTTCGGTTTCGGGGTTATGCTTCGGTAATTGGCTCTTTTCGATCACTGTATTTGACTCTGCAACTAATAGGCGCATAGCAGTGATCATGCTGTCTCTCTCTTCCTCGGCTGTTTTGGTCTTTCCCTTTTCCCTATTTATTCTTTCATTTAGATCATTGTTTTCATTCTTTAGGCGTAAGTTCTCATTTTTTAGTGTGTTATTTTCCTCTCTTAGGCCTGCTAATTCACTAACCAATTTCTGATCATCAGCCCAATTTTGTTTCTCAGCACGCTCGTTTAGGATAATTTTGAGGGCAGATTCATTTTCATTGACCTGTTTGCTAAGAACTTGAAGTTGATTTTTAAAAGCCTCCAGGGACAGGTCGTGGTCTTTGTCAGTAGGCTTATATTCATCATTAGTATGCATTTCTTTTTCGTTATGGTCGTCAGCAATCTTATTATGATCTTCAGCATTTGCCAAACTTTTTGAGACCCATGCCAATGATTCTAATTTAGCTTTAATCTCTTCTTTAAGCGTTCCACTTAGTGTGATCGATTTCGTGTCTGGATACCATCTTAAATCAATCTTTTCACTTTTGAATCGTTTATCATGGCCGCCAGGGCCATCCCAAACACCGTTTGACAAATTCAGTATATCTTCAACAAACTGTTGCAAATGCTGAAACGTTCCAAGCCATACTAATTTTCCTTTGGCATTAAAAGATATACCATGTAGAAGACTTATTCTTGTTTCCTCCACATTCATTTCAAGATTTAGATCGATTATAACGGAGCGAAATTAGACACGTCTTTCAGTGAGCGCCTTTAAAAATACTATGGGACTCGAACCCATATACGATATGGGACTCGAACCCATGGCCCTCAGATTAAAGGTCTGATCCTCTACTAACTGAGGTAACCGGGCAACACGGAGGTTGGGAATCTCATGCGTCAATAAGATCGTGATCTTCTAAGTAATTATCTTAGTATCATTAAGAAAAAGGTCAGATAATTTAGGAAAGTCGTTTTGCCGAAACCCGGGATTGAACCAGGGACCTTCAGATCTTCAGTCTGACGCTCTCCCATCTGAGCTATTTCGGCAGGTACTGTATATCTTAAGAACGTACTTGGAAGTGTGTTGTCGTTTCCAAATAGTTTGTTAAATTTGAAGAATCACCGAAAATGATAATGCAGCCTTTCTTGAGCCCGATATGGGACTCGAACCCATGGCCCTCAGATTAAAAGTCTGATGCTCTACCAACTGAGCTAACCCAGCACCACGGAGGTTGGGAATCTCATGCGTCAAAAAGATCGTGATCTTCTTAGTAATTATCTTAGTATCATTAAGAAAAAATCACATAATTTAGGAAAGTCGTTTTGCCGAAACCCGGGATTGAACCAGGGACCTTCAGATCTTCAGTCTGACGCTCTCCCTTCTGAGCTATTTCGGCAGGTTGAATATCTCTTAAGATCGTATTTCAGAGTATGATGCCCTTTCCAAATAGCTTGTTAAATTTGCAGAAAATCCGAAAATTATAATGCTGTCTTTCTTGAGCCCGATATGAGACTCGAACCCATGGTTAAATTTGCAGAAACCCCGAAAATGATAATGCAGTCTTTCTTGAGCCCGATATCGGACGCGAACCCATGGCCCTCAGATTAAAAGTCTGATGCTCTATCAACTGAGCTAACCGGGCAGCACGGAGGTTCGGAATCTCATGCGTCAATAAGATCGTGATCTTCTTAGTAATTATCTTAGTATCATTAAAAAAGATTCAGATAATTTAGGAAAGTCGTTTTGCCGAAACCCGGGGGTTGAACCAGGGACCTTCAGATCTTCAGTCTGACGCTCTCCCATCTGACCTATTTCGGCAGGTACAATATCTCTTAAGATCGTACTTCAGAGTATGATGTCCTTTCCAAATAGCTTGCTATATTTGCAAAAACCCCGAAAATGATAATCCAGTCTTTCTTGAGCCCGATATGAGACTCGAACCCATGGCTCTCAGATTAAAAGTCTGATCCTCTACCAACTGAGCTAATCGGGCGGGATGGAGATTGGGAATCTCATGCGTCAATAAGATCGTGATCTTCTGAGTAATTATCTTTGTATCATTAATAAAAAGTGAGATAATTTAGGAAAGTCGTTTTGCCGAAACACGCGATTGAATCAGGAGCCTTCAGCTCTTCAGTCTGACGCTCCCCCATCTGACGTATTTCGGCAGATACTGTATTTCTTAAGAACCTACTTCGAAGTGTGTAGTCCTTTCCAAATAGCTCGTTATATTTGCAGAAACCCCGCAAATGGCAATGCAGACATTCTTGAGCCCGTTATTGGTGTCGAACCCATGGCCCTCTGGTTAAAAGTCTGATGCTCTACCAACTGAGCTAACTGGGCAGCACGGAGGTTGGGAATCTCATGCGTCATTAAGATCGTGATCTTCTTAGTAATTATCTTAGTGTCATTAAAAAAAGTCAGATAATTTAGGAACGTCTTTTTGCCGAAACCCGGGATTGAACCAGGGACCTTTAGATCTTCAGTCTGACGCTCTCCCATCTGAACTATTTCGGCAGGTACAACATCTCTTAAGGTCGTACTTCAGAGTGTTATGTCCTTTCCAAATAGCTTCTTATATTAGCAGAAACCCCGAAAATGATAATGCTGTCTTTCTTGAGCCCGATATGGGACTCGAACCCATGGCCCTCAGATTAAAAGTCTGATGCTCTACCAACTGAGCTAACCGGGCAGCACGGAGGTTGGGAAAATCATGCGTCAATAAGATCGTGATCTTCTCAGTAATTATCTTAGTGTCATTAACAAAAGTTAGATAATTTAGGAACGTCGTTTTGCCGAAACCCGGGATTGAACCAGGGACCTTCAGATCTTCAGTCTGACGCTCTTCCTTCTGAGCTATTTCGGCAGGTAGAATATCTCTTAAGATCGTACTTCCGAATGTGATGTCCTTTCCAAATAGCTTGTTAAATTTGCAGCAACCCTGAAAATTATAATGCAGTCTTTCATGAGCCCGATATGGGACTCGAACCCATGGCCCTCAGATTAAAAGCCTGATGATCTACCAAGTGACCTAACCGGGCAGTACGGAGGTTGGAAATCTCATGCGTCAATGAGGTAGTGATCTTCTTAGTAATTATCTTAGTGTCATTAAAAAAAAGTGAGATAATTTAGGAACTTCCTTTTGCCGAAACTTGGGATTGAATGAGGTACCTTCAGATCTTCAGTCTGACGCTCTCCCTTCTGAGCTATTTCGACAGGTACGATATCTCTAAAGACGTACTTCAGAGTGTGTAGTCCTTTCCAAATAGCTTGTTATATTTGCAGAAACCACGAAATTTATAATGCGGTCTTTCTTGAGCCCGATATGGGACTCGAACCCATGGCCCTCAGATTAAAAGTCTGATGCTTTACCAACTGAGCTAACTGGGCAGCACGGAGGTTGGGAATCTCATGCGTCAATGAGATCGTGATCTTCTTAGTAATTATCTTAGTGTCATTAAAAAAAGTCAGATAATTTAGGAACGTCGTTTTGCCGAAACCCGGGATTGAACCAGGGACCTTCAGATCTTCAGTCTGACGCTCTCCCTTCTGAGCTATTTCGGCAGCTACAATATCTCTTAAGATCGTACTTCAGAGTATGATGTCGTTTCCAAATAGCTTGTTAAATTTGCAGAAACCCCGAAAATTATAAAGCTGTCTTTCTTGAGCCCGATATGGGACTCGAACCCATGGCCCTCAGATTAAAAGTGTGATGCTCTACCAACTGAGCTAACCGGGCAGCACGAAGGTTCGGAAACTCATGCGTCAATAAGATCGTAATCTTCTTAGTAATTATCTTAGTATCATTAAAAAAATTCAGATCATTTAGGAAAGTCGTTTTGCCAAAACTCGGGATTGAACCAGGGACCTTCAGATCTTCAGTCTGACGCTCTCCCTTCTGAGCTATTTCGGCAGCTACAATATCTCTTAAGATCGTACTTCAGAGTATGATGTCGTTTCCAAATAGCTTGTTAAATTTGCAGAAACCCAGAAAATGCTAATGCTGTCTTTCTTGAGCCCGACATGGGACTCGAACCCATGGCCCTCAGATTAAAAGTCTGATGCTCTAACAACTGAGCTAACCGGGCAGTACGGAGGTTGGGAATCTCATGCGTCAATAAGATCGTGATCTTCCTAGTAATTATCTTATTGTCATTAACAAAAGTTAGATAATTTAGGAACGTCGTTTTGCCGAAACCCAGGATTGAACCAGGGACCTTCAGATCTTCAGTCTGACGCTCTCCCTTCTGAGCTATTTCGGCAGGTGCAATATCTCTTAAGATCGTACTTCAGAGTGTGTAGTCCTTTCCAAATAGCTTGTTATATTTGCAGAAACCCCGAAATTTATAATGCAGTCTTTCTTGAGCCCGATATGGGACTCGAACCCATGGCCCTCAGATTAAAAGTCTGATGCTTTACCAACTGAGCTAACCGGGCAGCACGGAGGTTCGGAATCTCATACGTCAATAACATCGTGATCTTCTTAGGAATTATCTTAGTATCATTAAAAAAAATTCAGATAATTTGGGAACGTCGTTTTGCCGAAACCCGGGATTCAACCAGGTACCTTCAGATCTTCAGTATGACGCTCTCCCTTCTGAGGTATTTCGGCAGGTGCAATATCTCTTAAGATCGTACTTCAGAGTGTGTAGTCCTTTCCAAATAGCTTGTTATATTTGCAGAAACCCCGAAATTTATAATGCAGTCTTTCTTGAGCCCGATATGGGACTCGAACCCATGGCCCTCAGATTAAAAGTCTGATGCTTTACCAACTGAGCTAACCGGGCAGCACGGAGGTTCGGAATCTCATACGTCAATAACATCGTGATCTTCTTAGGAATTATCTTAGTATCATTAAAAAAAATTCAGATAATTTGGGAACGTCGTTTTGCCGAAACCCGGGATTCAACCAGGTACCTTCAGATCTTCAGTATGACGCTCTCCCTTCTGAGGTATTTCGGCAGGTGCAATATCTCTTAAGATCGTACTTCAGAGTGTGTAGTCCTTTCCAAATAGCTTGTTATATTTGCAGAAACCCCGAAATTTATAATGCAGTCTTTCTTGAGCCCGATATGGGACTCGAACCCATGGCCCTCAGATTAAAAGTCTGATGCTTTACCAACTGAGCTAACCGGGCAGCACGGAGGTTCGGAATCTCATACGTCAATAACATCGTGATCTTCTTAGGAATTATCTTAGTATCATTAAAAAAAATTCAGATAATTTGGGAACGTCGTTTTGCCGAAACCCGGGATTCAACCAGGTACCTTCAGATCTTCAGTATGACGCTCTCCCTTCTGAGGTATTTCGGCAGGTGCAATATCTCTTAAGATCGTACTTCAGAGTGTGTAGTCCTTTCCAAATAGCTTGTTATATTTGCAGAAACCCCGAAATTTATAATGCCGTCTTTCTTGAGCCCGATATGGGACTCGAACCCATGGCCCTCAGATTAAAAGTCTGATGCTTTACCAACTGAGCTAACTGGGCAGCACGGAGATTGGGAATCTCATGCGTCAATGAGATCGTGATCTTCTTAGTAATTATCTTAGTGTCATTAAATAAAGTCATGCTCAGATAATTTAGCAACGTCTTTTTGCCGAAACCCGGGATTGAACCAGGGACCTTCAGATCTTCAGTCTGAAGCTCTCCCTTCTGAGCTATTTCGGCAGGTACAATATCTCTTAAGATCGTACTTCACAGTGTGTTTTCCTTTCCAAATAGCTTGTTAAATTAGCAGAAACCATGAAAATTATAAAGCTGTCTTTCTCGAGCCCGATATGGGACTCGAACCCATGGCCCTCAGATGAAAAGTCTGATGCTCTACCAACTGAGCTAACCGGGCAGCACGGAGGTTGGGAAACTCATGCGTCAATAAGATAGTGATCTTCTTAGTAATTATCTTAGTGTCATTAAAAAAAATCAGATAATCTAGGAACGTCGTTTCGCCGAAAACCGGGATTGAACCAATGACCTTCAGATCTTCAGTCTGACGCTCCCCTTCGGAGCTATTTCGGCAGGTACAATATTTCTTAAGAACCTACTTCAAAGTGTGATGTCCTTCCAAATAGCTGGTTAAATTTGCAGAAACCCCGAAAATGATAATGCAGTCTCTCTTGAGCCCGATATGGGACTCGAACCCATGGCCTCAGATTAAAAGTCTGATGCTCTACCAACTGAGCTAACCGGGCAGCACGGAGCCACGGAATATCATGCGCCAGTAAGATCGTGATCTTCTTAGTAATAATCTTAGTATCATCAAAAAAATTCAGATAATTTAGGAAAGACGTTTTGCAGAAACCCGGGATTGAACCAGGGACCTTCAGATCTTCAGTCTAACGCCTTCCCTTCAGAGGTATTTCGGCAGGTACAATATCTCTGAAGATCGTACTTCAGAGATGATGTCCTTTCGAAATAGCTTGTTAAATTTGCAGAAACACCGAAAATGATAATGCAGTCTTTCTTGAGCCCGATATGGGACTCGAAACCATGGCCCTCAGATTAAAAGTCTGATGCTCTACCAACTGAGCTAACCGGGCAGCACGGACGTTCGGAATCTCATGCGTCAATAAGATCGTGATCTTCTTAGTAATTATCTTAGTATCATCAAAAAAATTCAGATAATTTAGGAAAGTATTTTTGCAGAAACCCGGGATTGAACCAGTGACCTTCAGATCTTCAGTCTGACGCTCTCCCTTCTGAGCTATTTCGGCAGGTACAATATCTCTTAAGATCGTACTTCACAGTGTGTTTTCCTTTCCAAATAGCTTGTTAAATTTGCAGAAACCATAAAAGCTGTCTTTCTCGAGCTTGATATGGGACTGGAACCCATGGCCTTCAGATTAAAAGTCTGATGCTCTACCAACTGAGCTAACCGGGCAGCACGGAGGTTGGAAATCTCATGCGTCAATAAGATCGTGATCTTCTTAGTAATTATCTTAGTAGCATTAAAAAAAATTCAGATAATTTAGGAACGTCGTTTTGCCGAAACCCGGGATTCAACCAGGTACCTTCAGATCTTCAGTATGACGCTCTCCCTTCTGAGGTATTTCGGCAGGTGCAATATCTCTTAAGATCGTACTTCAGAGTGTGTTGTCCTTTCCAAATTGCTTGTTATATTTGCAGAAACCCCGAAATTTATAATGCAGTCTTTCTTGAGCCCGATATGGGACTCGAACCCATGGCCTTCAGATTAAAAGTCTGATGCTTTACGAACTGAGCTAACTGGACAGCACGGAGATTGGGAATCTCATGCGTCAATGAGATCGTGATCTTCTTAGTAATTATCTTAGTGTCATTAACAAAAGTCAGATAATTTAGGAACTTCCTTTTGTCGAAACCCGGCATTGAATCAGGGACCGTCAGCTCTTCACTCTGACGATCTCTCATCTGAGGTATTTCGGCAGGTTCTGTATCTCTTAAGAACGTACTTCGAAGTGTGTAGTTCTTTTCAAATAGCTTGTTATATTTGCAGAAACCCCGAAAATAATAATGCAGTCTTTCTTGTTCCCGATATGGGACTCCAACCCATGGCCCTCAGATTAAAAGTCTGATGCTCTACCAACTGAGCTAACCGGGCAGCACGGAGGTTGTGAATCTCATGCGTCAATAAGATCGTGATCTTCTCAGTAATTATCTTAGTGTCATTAAAAAAAATTCAGATCATCTAGGAACGTCGTTCGCCGAAACCCGAGATTGAACCAGGGACCTTCAGATCTTCAGTCTGACGCTCTCCCTTCTGAGCTATTTCGGCAGGTACAATATCTCTTAAGATCTCACTTCAGAGTATGATGTCCTTTCCAAATAGCCTGTTATATTTGCAGAAACCCCGAAAATGATAATAATCCAGCCTGTCTTGAGCCTGATATGGGACTCGAACCCATGGCCCTCTGATTAAAAGTCTGATGCTCTACCAACAGAGCTATCCGGGCGGGATGGAGATTGGGAATCTCATGCGTCAATAAGATCGTGATCTTCTTAGTAATTATCTTAGAATCATTAATAAAAAGTGAGATAATTTAGGAAAGTCGTTTTGCCGAAACACGCGATTGAATCAGGGACATTCAGCTCTTCAGTCTGACGCTCCCTAATCTGACCTATTTCGGCAGATACTGTATTTCTTAAGAACCGACTTCGAAGTGTGTAGACCTTTCCAAATAGCTTGTTATATTTGCAGATACCCCGCAAATGACATTGCAGTCTTTCTTGAGCCCGTTATGGGTGTCGAACGCATGGCCCTCAGTTTAAAAGTCTGATGCTCTACCAACTGAGCTAACCGGGCAGTACGCAGGTTGGGAATCTCATGCGTCAATAAGATCGTGATCTTCTTAGTAATTACCTTAGTGTCATTAAAAAAAGTCAGTTCATTTAGGAACGTCGTTTTGCCGAAACTCGGGATTGAACTAGGGACCTTCAATCTGACGCTCTCTCTTCTGAGCTATTTCGGCAAGTACAATATCTCTTAAGATCGCACTTCAGAGTATGATGTCCTTTCCAAATAGCTTGTTAAATTTGCAGAAACCCTGAAAATGATAATGTTGTCTTTTTTGAGCCCGATAAGGGACTCAAACCCATGGCCCTCAGATTAAAAGTCTGATGCTCTACCAACTGAGCTAATCGGGCAGCACGGAGGTTGGGAATCTCATGCGCGAATAAGATCGTGATCTTCTTAGTAATAATCTTAGTGTCATTAAAAAAAGTTCAGATAGTCTAGGAACGTCGTTTTGCCGAAACCCGGGATTGAACCAGGGACCTTCAGATCTTCAGTCTGACGCTCGCCTTTCTGAGCTATTTCGGCAGGGTCAATATCTCTTAAGATCGTACTTTCTTGAGCCCGATATGGGACTCGAATCGATGGCCCTCAGATTAATAGTCTGATGCTCTACCAACTGAGCTAACCGGGCAGCACGGAGGTTGGGAATCTCATGCGTCAATAAGATCGTGATCTTCTTAGTAATTATCTTAGTGTCATTAAATAAAGTCATGCTCAGATAATTTAGGAACGTCTTTTTGCCGAAACCCGGGAATGAACCACGGACCTTCAGATCTTCAGTCTGACGCTCTCCCTTCTGAGCTATTTCGGCAGGTACAATATCTCTTAAGATCGTACTTCACAGTGTGTTTTCCTTTCCAAATAGCTTATTATATTTGCAGAAACCCCGAAAATGATAATGCAGTCTTTCTTGAGCCCGATATGGGACTCGAACCCATGGCCCTCGGATTAAAAGTCTGCTGCTCTACCAACTGAGCTAACCGGGCGTGAAGGAGATTGGGAATCTAATGCGTCAATAAGATCGTGATCTTCTTAGTAATTATCTTAGTATCATTAATAAAAAGTGAGATAATTTAGGAAAGTCGTTTTGCCGAAACACGCGATTGATTCAGGGGCGTTCAGCTCTTCAGTCTGACGCCCCCCAATCTGCCCTATTTCGGCAGATACTGTATTTCTTAAGAACCTGTTTCGAAGTGTGATGTCCTTTCCAAACAGCTTCTCAAATTTGCAGAAACCCCGAAAATGATAATTCAGTCTTTCTTGAGCCCGATATGGGTCTTGAACCCACGGCCCTCAGATTAAAAGTCTAATTGCTCTACCAACTGAGCTAACCGGGTAGCACGGAGGTTGGGTATCTCATGAGTCAATGAGATCGTTGTCTTCTTAGTAATTACCTTAGTGTCATTAAACAAAGTCAGATAATTTAGGAACGTCGTTTTGCCGAAACCCTGGATTGAACCAGGGACCTTCAGATCTTCAGTCTGACGCACTCCCTTCTGAGCTATTTCGGCAGGTACAATATTTCTTAAGATCGTACTTCAGAGTATGATGTCCTTTCCAAATAGCTTGTTAAATTTGCAGAAACCCCGAAAATGATAATGCTGTCTTTCTTGAGCCCGATAAAGGACTCGAACCCATGGCCCTCAGATTAACAGTCTGATGCTCTACCAACTGAGCTAACCGGGCAGCACGGAGGTTGGGTATCTCATGCGTCAATAAGACCGTGATCTTCTTAGTGATTATCTTAGTGTCATTAAAAAAAGTCAGATAATTTAGGAACGTCGTTTTGCCGAAACCCGGGATTGAGCCAGGGACTTTCACATCTTCAGTCTGACGTTCTCCCATCTGACCTATTTCGGCAGATACTCTATTCCTTAAGAACCTGTTTCGAAGTGTGATGTCCTTTCCAAACAGCTTCTCAAATTTGCAGAAACCTCGAAAATGATAATGCAGTCTTTCTTGAGCCCGATATGGGAGTTGAACCCACGGCCCTCAGATTAAAAGTCTAATGCTCTACCAACTGAGCTAAGCGGGCAGCAAGGAGGTTGGGTATCTGATGAGTCAATGAGATAGTTATCTTCTTAGTAATAATCTTAGTGTCATTAAATTAAAAAAAGCCAGATAATTTAGGAACGTCTTTTTGCCGAAACCCGGGATTGAACCAGGGACCTTCAGATCTTCAGTCTGACGCTCTCCCTTCTGAGCTATTTCGGCAGGTAGAATATCTCTCAAGATCGTACTTCTGAATGTGATGTCCTTTCCAAATAGCTTGTTAAATTTGCAGCAACCCTGAAAATTATAATGCAGTCTTTCTTGAGCCCGATATGGGCCTCGAACCCATGGCCTCAGATTAAAAGTCTGATGCTCTACAAACTGAGCTAACCGGGCAGCACGGACGTTGGGAATCTCATGCGTCAATTAGGTCGTGATCTTCTTAGTAATTATCTTAGTGTTATTAAAAAAAGTCAGATAATTTAGGAACTTCCTTTTGCCGAAACCCGGGATTGAATCAGGGACCTTCAGATCTTCAGTCTGACGCTCTCCCTTCTGAGCTTTTTCGGCAGGTACAATATCTCTTAAGATCGTACTTCAGAGTGTGTAGTCCTTTCCAAATAACTTGTTACGTTTCCAGAAACCCCGAAAATGATAATGCAGTCTCTCTTGAGCCCGATATGGGACTCGAACCCATAGCCCTCAGATTAAAAGCCTGAATCTCTACCAACTGAGCTAACCGGGCAGCACGGAGTTTGGGAATCTCATGCGTCAATAAGATCGTGATCTTCTTAGTAATTATCTTAGTGTCATTAAAAAAAGTCAGATAATTTAGGAACGACGTTTTGCCGCAACCCGGGATTCAACCAGGGACCTTCAGATCTTCAGTCTGACGCTCTCCCATCTGACCTATTTCGGCAGATACTGTATTTCTTAAGAACCTACTTCGAAGTGTGATGTCCTTTCCAAATAGCAGGTTAAATTTTCAGAAACCCCGAACATGATAATGCAGTCGTTCTTGAGCCCGATATGGGACTGGAACCCATGGCACTCAGATTAAAAGTCTGATGCTTTACCAACTGAGCTAACCGGAAAGCACGGAGGTTGGGAATCTCATGCGTCAATAAGATTGTCATCTTCTTAGTAATTATCTTAGTGTCATTAAAAAAAGTCAGATAATTTAGGAACGTCTTTTTGCCGAAACCCGGGATCGAACCAGGGACCTTCAGATCTTCAGTCTGACGCTCTCCCTTCTGAGCTATTTCGGCAGGTACAATATCTCTTAAGATCGTACTTCATAGTGTCATGTCCTTCCCCAATAGCTTGTTAAATTTGCAGAAACCACGATAATTTTAAAGCTGTCTTTCTTGAGCCCGATATGGGACTCGAACCCATGGCCCTCAGATTAAACGTCTGATGCTCTACCAACTGAGCTAACCGGGCAGAACGGAGGTTGGGAATCTCATGCGTCAATAAGATCGTGATCTTCTTATTAATTATCTTAGTATCATTAAAAAAAATTCAGATAATTTGGGAAAGTCGTTTTGCCGAAACCCGGGATTCAACCAGGGATCTTCAGTTCTTCAGTCTGACGCTCTCCCTTCTGAGCTATTTCGCCAGGTACAATATCTCTTAAGATCGTACTTCAGAGTATGATGTCCTTTCCAAATAGCTTGTTATATTTGCTGAAACCCCGAAAATGATAATCCAGTCTTTCTTGAGCCCGATATGGGACTCGAACCCATGGCCCTCAGATTAAAAGTCTGATGCTTTACCAACTGAGCTAACCGGAAAGCACGGAGGTTGGGAATCTCATGCGTCAATAAGATTGTCATCTTCTTGAGCCCGATAGGGGACTCGAACCCATGGCCCTCAGATTAAAAGTGTGATGCTCTACCAACCGAACTAACCGGGCGGGATGGAGATTGGGAATCTCATGCGTCAGTAAGATCGTTATCTTCTTAGTAATTATCTTAGTATCATTAAAAAAAAATTCAGATAATTTAGGAACGTCTTTTTCTCGAAACCCGGGATTGAACCAGGGACGTTCAGATCTTCAGTCTGACGCTCTCCCTTCTGAGCTATTTCGGCAGGTACAATATCTCTTAAGATCGTATTTCAGAGTATGAGGTCCTTTCCAAATAGCTTGTTAAATTTGCAGAAACCCCGAAAATAATAATGCTCTCTTTCTTGAGCCCGATATGGGGCTCGAACCCGTGGCCCTCAGATTAAAAGTCTGATGCTCTACCAACTGAGCTAACCGGGCAGCACGGAGGTTGGAAATCTCATGCGCCGATAAGATCGTGATCTTCTTAGTAATTATCCTAGTGTCATTAAAAAAAATTCAGGTAATTTGGGAAAGTCGTTTTGCCGAAACCCGGGATTCAACCAGGGACCTTCAGTTCTTCAGTCTGACGCTCTCCCTTCTGAGCTATTTCGCCAGGTACAATATCTCTTAAGATCGTACTTCAGAGTATGATGTCCTTTCCAAATAGCTTGTTATATTTGCAGAAACCCCGAAAATGATAATCCAGTCTTTCTAGAGCCCGATATGGGACTCGAACCCATGGCCCTCAGATTAAAAAACTGATGCTCTACCAACTGAGCTTACCGGGCGGGATGGAGATTGGGAATCTCATGCGTCAATAAGATCGTGATCTTCTTAGTAATTATCTTAGTATCATTAATAAAAAGTGAGATATTTTAAGAATGTCGTTTTGCCGACACACGCGATTGAATCAGGGACCTGCAGCTCTTCAGTCTGACGCTCTCCCATCTGACCTATTTCGGCAGATACTGTATTTCTTAAGAACCTACTTCGAAGTGTGATGTCCTTTCCAAGTAGCTGGTAAAATTTTCAGAAACCCCGAAGATAATAATGTAGTCGTTCTTGAGCCCGATATGGGAATCGAACCCATGGCCCTCAGATTAAAAATCTGATGCTCTACCAACTGAGCTAACGGGAAAGCACGGAGGTTGGGAATTTCATGCGTCAATAAGATCGTGATCTTCTTAGTAATTATCTTAGTGTCATTAAAAAAGTCAGATAATTTAGGAACGTCTTTTTGCCGAAACCCGGGATTAAACCAGTGACCTTCAGATCTTCAGTCTGACGCTTTCCCTTCTGAGCTATTTCGGCAGGTACAATATCTCTTAAGATCGTACTTCACAGTGTGATGTCCTTTCCAAATAGCTTGTTAAATTTGCAGAAACCACTAAAATTATAAAGCTGTCTTTCTTGAGCCCGATATGGGACTCGAACCCATGGCCCTCAGATTAAAAGTCTGATGCTCTACCAACTGAGCTAACCGGGCGGGATGGAGATTGGGAATCTCATGCGCCAATGAGACCGTGATCTTCTTAGTAATTATCTTAGTATCATTAATAAAAAGTGATATAATTCAGGAACGTTGTTTTGCCGAAACCCGGGATTGAACCAGGGACGTTCAGATCTTCAGCTCAAATATCTCTTAAGATCGTACTTCACAGTGTGATGTCCTTTCCAAATAGCTTGTTAAATTTGCAGAAACCCCGAAAATAATAATGCTCTCTTTCTTGAGCCCGATATGGGGCTCGAACCCATGGCCCTCAGATTAAAGTCTGATGCTCTACCAACTGAGCTAACCGGGCGGGATGGAGATTGGGAATCTTATGCGCCAATAAGACCGTGATCTTCTTAGTAATTATCTTAGTATCATTAATAAAAAGTGATATAATTCAGGAACGTCGTTTTGCCGAAACCCGGGATTGAACCAGGGACCTTCAGATCTTCAGATCAAATATCTCTTAAGATCGTACTTCACAGTGTGATGTCCTTTCCAAATAGCTTGTTAAATTTGCAGAAACCCCGAAAATAATAATGCTCTCTTTCTTGAGCCCGATATGGGGCTCGAACCCATGGCCCTCAGATTAAAAGTCTGATGCTCTACAAACTGAGCTAACCGGACAGCAAGATGGTTTGGGACCTCGTGCGTCAATAAGATCGTGATCTTCTTTGTAATTATCTTAGCATCATTGAAAAAAAGCGTCAAATTCTTTCATGAAACACGTTTCGCCGAAGCCCGGGATTGAACCAGGGACTTCAGATTTTCTTAAGAACGTACTTCGAAGTGTGTTGTCCTTTCGAAATAGCTTCCTAAATTTGCAGAATCCCCGAAAATGATCAATGCACTCTTCCTTGAGCGCGATATGGGACTTGAACCCATGGCCCTCAGATTAAAAGTCTGATGCTCTAACAAGTGGGCTAACCAGGCTGGACGGAGGTTGTTAATCTCATGTGTCAATAAAATCGTGATCTTCTTATTAATTATCTTGGCATTATTCAAAAATACGTTTCACAATTCGAGAAACTCGTTTTGCCGAAAGCCGCGATTGAACCAGTGAGCTTCAGTTCTTCGGTCTGTATAATTTCAGCAGCTACAGCATAATTTTTGGTTACATGAAGACTCGGTTTACACGCTGCCGGAGGAATTTGGGACCGGGCTTAAGTTCGTACGTTTCGGCCTTGTAAGAACACGAGAGCCACGAAACTGGACGAATTTGAGACCCCCTAACAGGACGAATTGGCTGTAAACTGGCAAGATTGGACGAATTTCAGGCCGGTCCCTAATTTGTGAGGTACCGTGACGGGGTCTAAGGTGTTAGCACTTTGGGATATGCGTGATGTTATTTTTGAAACATTGAGAGGTGGTGCCACTTTGGGATATGTGTGACGTCAGCAAAGAATTATGATTGCGTCTGTAAATTCGTTCATATAGTTTGCGCCACTTTGGAAGGATACTGAAATGTTTATAATGTTTTGAGTTTTTGCGTAACTTTGGAATGATTTTGGAATAATACAGTGACGTTATTTTTGAAACATTGAGGAGATATGCCGTCAACAACACCTTGAGTTGTACATTTCATCGCGTACCCGGTCAACTCATGTAAAAATAACAAGAAAAGTACAAAAGTAGTCATAGACATCCGCACCACATAGGTTTTACGCACTCAGAGGTGACAATTTCGTCGATAAATCCTAGTATAACGCGTAGTTTTTGTACACATGATATGTATTGTAGAACGCTACAATCGCGTTCAAAAATTGTTGAGACAAGCAGTTTATTGGCCCCCTCCCTCCGGTAACAAGTAGTTAAATATTGTTTAAACGATTTTGAGGCAAGGTTTATCTAATAATATGTTTTCAACATTGTTAATCGGGAAAGGGGCACACACGTGAAAAGATCACTAAAATGCGTATTTTTGAGCGCGATTGTAGGTCGATGAGTGGTCGATGTAGGGTCGATGAGGGGTCGATGTTGGATCGATGTAGGGTCGATGAGAAGTCGATGTGGGGCATTAGTATCTAGACACAAAAACTGCACCAAGCCCTATCTGGAATTCAACTTCCGCTATAAATTTTCTTTAGTGGTTTTTTAGAGGCTGTGTCTGTAAAATCCGGTCACTCGATTTTATTAAATTTTTCGCCAAGGAACCGTAAAACGTGAAATTCGCTGTCGTGATAATCTATTTATAGATCGTGTTTGATGCCTCCTACGGAGAAACAAATTCACTATTTTCTAAAAACATTCAGTCGATGTTTACAATCATCTGTGATGTTTTTAAAAAAGAAAATTTTGTCTTGTGTGTTTTTCTCAAAGTGAGCGACATGCCTAATTACAAAGTGGTACTCTCGGACCTGCTGTGAAAGTAAATAAAATAGCACTAAGTTTGTCGTCAAATTCTCCGTTACAGGGACGAAACTAAAAAATATAGTAACTGTTATAACCACCCAGTCTATGTCTCAGTACACAATGGCCCGAACCTCCTAAGGATTCTGGGATACTACACTCCTCCCTTCCCAGTGTCCAATAATCTGAACTACACTGTATCTAACAAAATAGAATATCAACTTTAACTAATTGTCATATTAAATAATGGTTTATAACAAGTTCAACTTAGCTGTTTGCTAGTTCATAGTCCTGCAAATGTTGAGGAAGACGACGGTCTCTATGGGGTTGTCTTCTTTGTTCTGCTCTCCCTTCCAGTTCGGGTTCTTCCCGTGGTTCTGCAGGATTCACCTCCCTGGTTGGTAGTTGAATGTTTTCCAATCCATTCGCTACAGTTGTTTGAGGAACATCAGTGCGAATGCGGAGATGATCTTGGTAACGCCGGATAATTAGACCATCATCAAGCTGTATTTCTGCCGACACTAGTCCTGTCTTCTTCACTACCGTCCCGGGCATCCAACGTTCAGGTTTCCTGAAATCTTTCGCATATACTAGGTTCCCGGTTTTGATAATCCGTTCTCTAGCATGATAGTCATGTACTGCCTTTTGCTGTGATTGTTTTTCCCTCACCCGATCTCCAAGGTTTGGCTGTATCAGATCCGAGTACGCAGGTGTCTGCCCATCAACAGCTCCGCTGGCGGCACACCCGTTGTCGTATGGGGTGTAATGCGGTATTTCAGAAGGAATCGCGATAGTTTTGTTCTCAAACTTCCTTCCTCCATCTTCTCAATGCCCTCTTTAAAAGTTCTCACTGCACGCTCTGCTTGCCCATTTGATGCTGGGTGGTATGGTGAAACTTTGATGTGTTCAATACCATTTCGCTTCATAAATTCTTCAAATTCACTGCTCGTGAAATTTGTTCCATTTTCACTGACAACTGTTGTCGGTAGCCCATGTGTGGCAAAAATCTCGCGTAGTTTCTCAATGGTTGCTGTAGACGTATTGGATGTCATCTGGTGAACTTCTAGCCACTTAGAATATGCATCAACCACTACCAGAAACATTTCACCTTTGAATGGTCCTGCATAATCAATATGAAGCCGTGTCCAGGGATGTCCTGGCCACTCCCATGGATGGAGTGGTTCAGCTGCTGGAGTTGTATGATGCAGTTAACACTGATTGCAATTCTTCACTTCCCTCTCAATATCTTCATCAAAAGTAGGCCCACACATAGCTTCTTGCGAGGGCTTTCATGCGGGAGGTTCCTGGATGTGCTTCATGCGGGTCCGTTAAGATCTTTGATCGTCCTGGTGGTGGAATGATAACTCTCGTACCCCAGAGTAAACAGCCATCCTCCACACTCAACTCAAACTTTTTGCTGTGGTAAGATTTAAATGTTGTGGAATCATAGGACTCTGGCCAACCTTGCATTGTGAAACGAAAGACTTTTGACATAACTGGATCTCGTTTTGTCCACTCTCTTATCTGATTGCTGTTGAGTGGTGTTTCCTCCAAATGTTCCATCAGGAGGATTGTTTCACCTGACTGTGGCGTTGACGGTGGCATCTTTGGTAGGGGTAGTCTACTCAATGCATCAGCGTTCCCATTGTTTTCCCGGCTTTATATTGTATCTTGTACTCGTATGCTGCTAGTGTGAGGGCCCATCGTTGAATTCGTGGTGCTGCCCTTTTTTGTCGCTGAGTAACCGAGTAACCCTTCTAATGGCTTATGGTCTGTTTTGATGGTAAATGACTGTCCGTAAAGAAATTTGTGAAACTTCTCAACACCGAAAATCGTGGTCAATGCTTCCTTTTCGATTGTCGAATAATTTTTCTCAGCTGCATTTAAAGACCTTGAGGCATACGGTATCGGTTTTTCTGTCCCATCAGGAAATACATGTGACAAAACGGCCCCAACTCCGTGATTCGATGGATGATCAGTCGCTAAGATTAACGGCTTGGTCGGATCAAAATGGAAGAGTAAGTCAGCTGACTGTAGGAGCTCTTTTGCATAGTCAAATGCCGCCTTCTGCTGTTCTCCCCACTCCCACTTGGTTCCCTGTCGTAGTAGTCTGTGTAGTGGCTCAAGGATCGTTGCCATATTTGGTAAGAATCTGTGATAGTAGTTTAGCATTCCAAGAAATGATCGTAATTGGTTAATGTTCTCTGGCTCTGGTGCTTTCGTGATGGCTTCGACTTTTTCTACCACCGGATGGATTCTGTTCTCGTTTATCCCATAGCCACAATATGTCACGTCTGATGACATGAAACAACATTTGATCTTCTTCAATCTTAGGCCCGCTCAAGACAGTCGCGTCAACACTGCATTCAAATTGGATAGGTGATCTGCATCGTTTTTACCGCCTCCCAGAATATCATCAACTCGCACAATGACACTTGGAATACCTTGAAGTGAGTTCTCTAGTGTCCGCTGGAATATACCTGGGGCCGAGGATATGCCAAAAGGTAAGCGATTATATTGGTAAAGTCCCTTATGAGTGTTAATTGTGGTGTACTTCTTGGACTCCTCGTCTAACCGCAACTGTTGGTAGGCTTGTGACATATCCAACTTAGTGAATTTTTGGCTTCAACTGAGGGTTGTAAGCAGATCTTCCGTCTTCGGTATTGGGTAGTTGTCTAGTTTCGAAGCTTGGTTAATTGTTGCTTTGTAATCACCACATACGCGAACCGATCCATCTGGTTTGGCTACTGTCACTATTGGCGAAGCCCAATCTGAAAATTCAACTGGAGATATGATTCCCTCTCGCTGTAGTCTCTCTAATTCTTGTTCCAGTGGAATTTTTATGGCAAAAGGAACTGGCCGAGCCTTCACAAATTTGGGTTGTGCATCTTGATTTGCATAGATTTTTGCTGTTGTTCCTTCCAAAGTACCTAATTCTTCGGTAAAAACCTCTTGTGGGTTTCAAGAACTTCCTCTTATTCACTGCAAGGATGACATTAATTTATTTGGAATATTAAGGCCCAGTTCATTTTGATTACACGCAACCAATCTCGGCCAAACAGATTTGGACCTTGACCTTTGACCACAAGCTAGTGCGAGTAGGTTATGCTGTTGGTTTTCATACCGTACTGGAACCATTACTTCGCCCGCTACTGGAATTCTCTCTCCGGTATAGAGAAATACGTGTAGTACGAAATACGTGTAGTACCCATTAACCCCAAACGATCAGATATCAGTTCCCTCTAGTCTCAACATTGTTCACTTAAACATTCGCTCGTTAAGAAATGTCGTTCACCTTACTGAGGTCAAGGAACTAGTAAAGTTAAATAATATTGATGTCCTCACAATTTCAACATGAGCTCCACCTTTGAATTTACTATATGAGTAAATTCTTAAACACGTCCGAATTTATCATATGAGTTTTTCATGTTTTTTTAAAAAAATAGTTTTTAAAAAAGTTTTAAAAAGTTTTAAAAGAATTTTGAAAAGCAAAAAAAGTTTAAAAAGTTAGATTTTTAAAAAAGTTAAAAAAATTTAAAAAGTTAAAAAAATGAGGGTTAGTGGTTAGGGGTTAGGGTTAGGGGTTAGGGTTGGGGTTAGGGTTAGTGTTAGGTGCCGCGAATTTATTATTATGATAAATTCAAAATTTGCCGCGAATTTATCATAATGATAAATTCGGACGTGTTTAAGAATTTACTCATATAGTAAATTCAAAGGTGGAGCTCATGCTGCACAATTTCCGAATCGTGGTTAAATTCCTCAGTAACGAACCGTGAGATTGCAATCGACGATTATAAGATCCACAGACTTGACCGGTTACACAAGAAAGGTGGAGGTGTCTGTGCTTATATCAAGAAGAATATTAAAGCAACTGTCTTAAAATGTGTCAGTCTCTAACTTTCATCAACTATGGATAAATCTACAATGCCAAAAAACAAATCAATAATAATTTGTGTAACCTACCGACCACCTGACACTTCTCTAAATTGTTTCGAAGATTTACTTAAGCCAAATTATGTTCAGGCTTTAACTTTGAATAAACAGATTTTAGTGCTCGGTGACTTAAATTGCAACATGCTAGAAAACGGCCAAGAGCGGAGAGCGCCAACAAATTTTTCTACAGAGTTAAATCTCACACAGATTATTAAAACTCCAACTAGAATCACGGCGACGTCCCAAACGTTTATTGATGTTATTCTAGTCTCATCCACAGCACTTGTTCTTGAGAGTGGTGTTATTAATACTTCTATCAGTGACCACTTACAGTGTACGTCCTACTAAAGTTAAAGGCCCCAAAGATGCCAGCATGTTACATTACAACTATGAGTTATAAAAACTATAATCCCTCACTATTTTCCTCTGACCTTGTCTCTAAATCTGATCGTCTGTATTGAATTTGAATTGATTTGAATTGAATTTTATTTGCCCATATGAAAAAGTTAATATTTACAATCTAAAGTATACAATAAAATATGACGGGCTAGGAGCCTTCATGAAACCCTTTCAGGCTTTTTGTTCAAAGGTCCCTAGTTCTATAATATTTTTACAATTGTTTTATATGGTAAGTTAATCATATAATGTCGAAAGAATATAGGAATATTTACAAATACAAATATAAAGTAAGGAAAATTTTAAAGTAAAAGTAATATAATGAGCTAATTGAACAAAGTTTACAGATAATAACAATTAAAGTATATTTTACAAGAAAAATAATTTTGACTTTTTCTTAAAAGTACAATAAAATATAATACTGCTAATTTCATTATCGAGTGAATTCCATATCTTAACTCCCTTGTTAACAATAGAATGTTTTGCATAATTTGTTCTACTAAAATTTACATGAAATTTGTTAGCATTCCGAGTATTGTAATGATGCACTTCATTGTTCTGTGTGAAGTAGCCATTAAAATATTCAGGTAAGTTTTGTAGACGTTTAAACCGGTACATAAATAAACAACTTAAATAGTCATTGATCTTAAAGATATTCAAGATCTTTAAGTTCTGAAACAATGGCTCAGTGTGTTCAAGATACGATTTAAAACTTATCAATCTGATAATTTTTTTCTGTATATTCTGTATTTTCTGTAGCCTTGTTGGGTACGTATTACCCCATACTAGATTCCCATAAGTAAGATATGGATAAACCAATGCATAATAAATCAACTTAAGTGTATTTTTATTTGTGTAATGTCGTAGTTTAGGCCTACTCTGGGGCGGTAAATCGCCTTAAATCGCCTAAAATCGCCCAAATCGCATTAAATCGCGGGTTAAAATGGTCAAATTTCTCTTAAATCGCCTAAAATCGCTTTAAATCGCCTAAAATCGCTTAAAATCATAGGCGTACTGGGTGGGGGTGGGGGGACGGGGCGACCGCCCCCTCCCAGTTTCTGGCTGGGCGGTCGCCCCCTGGCTTTGTTGGGCAAACAAAGCCAGCCGGGCAATATTCGCTTCACAGTCGGGCAATATTGGTTTATTATAGAAATAAATGGGACAAATTCTGTCAATTTTGTGAGAAATTCTGTCAATTATGTGGGAAATATGCTATCTAATAGGAATTTTTTGTAATCACTTCTCTCCCCCCCCCCCCAATCACTTCTTTCCAACCCCCTAATATTTTCCTTCCCGTACGCCCATGCTTAAAATCGCATTAACTCGCCAACATGCATTCTGTTTGATACATTCAGTCAATAATGTACTCAAGTTTATCAATTGCTGCTATTTTGCCGGCAAATCATGTATAATCCAGGTGTTTTGCAATCAAAAGTAATGCAACATGGTTAAATCAAATAAGTGGATTAGGCTGACAATATTTAGTCACTCAATAGGCTCCGGTCGTTAATAAAAACAGAGCCTTTTTCTGCTTTATGCAGACTTTACAATAATTAGGCAATTCTGGGATATGAAAGACCCATAGATTCCATTACACTACCAGCAACAAAATTGAGTTACTGGTTAATTTCATTATTGGTGTAAAATGTGGAGGCTGGGCTACAATTTATATGGACTATGGTGGCTGGGCTACAAATTAATCTATAATATACATGGCTTCTCAAAGCCTAATTGCTGTTAGAACAACAGTAGGAGACTATGATAATGAGAGTCAATGAGTACGAGTATATAATAAGGTCATCCTGCAATTTATGTACTGTTGCATGTAGATCGAGCACTGCATTGTATACAATGGTTGTACTTCGACATGTGCATGGTTATACTCTAGCTCCTAGTTATAATTATATTGGCTGTCATACGAAAAACATACGTGAGGTTTAATATGAGCGAGATTTGCAAGTTTTGCAACTCTCATCTATTAAATTTTCCAGACCTGTATATAAAATAAACAGTAAAACAATGATTACATCGTACATACCATACAATCTTTGTTGTTGCTTGTTTGCAGAACAGGTAAGAGACTTAAAACCACAATGTAGTGCGCGGTGTGCCATTTGTTTAATATCATTTTGTTTAGTATTTTTTTTAAATAATTTAGAATTCCGACCATTTATATGCGATGTACTTCATGTAAATTAAACTTTACGGCATTACGCCGACAGTTTCCGAATGCGTGACAATACTGTTTCAAACTGTTTCTAGTAGATATCAAACATAATTTTATAAAACATGTTTGTTGAAACAGTTTGAATAAAATGCAAGCTAAATAAAGAAGTGTTGACGGGATACAAAACAAGACAATTTCACTTACAAGGGTGACAAGGTAATTTATAGGAATATAGCTTATTGTAACTGTATAAATATATTGTGCGTTTCTACTCCCTGTGGGCTGTGGTTCTTTTGGAAATCAAATATCTATTATATTTTGCAATTAATAATATTAAAGTTTAGCCTAAGACATGTGTAGTTTAGTTATAGGTTGGTATTTTGCAATTATGTACCGTACATGCCCCTTAAGTAGAGTATATTTATTAACTGTTTACAATATTTGTAATGTAGCCATGAATGCATGACCACATGACCCCCCCCAAGATGAACTCCAATGGCTTCTAAATAAGACAATGGATGAAAAGTTCACGAATATTGAGCTTTATATATGATTCGGGTTAAATACAATAATTATTAACCTAGCTTTATATAAAATGTACATACATGTTCTAATAATTGTATTTTGCTTCATACAATGCATATGTGTCAATGTGTGTGAAAACATTACATTATTCAGCTCACTCCCCTTTGGGGCTTTTCAGTCACCGCTTACATAAAGTATTAGGGTTACTTATGTTAGTCTAGTCTATATATCTTTATAACAATGAGAATATGATATCACTTTTCTAACTGTGTTTATTCTAACCCACCCTGCCATATTTTGCCTTGTGGGAGGAAACCGGAGCAAAATATAAAATTCAATTACCTTGAAAACACAGATCTAAATTGCAATCCCTAAAATTTAGAATTTTCTCTCAAATCGCCTAAAATTGAATTAAATCGCAGTGCTTGAAAGTCCCAGTTTTTCCTTAAATCGCCTAAAATCGCCCAAAATCGCATTATACGCAGCGATTTAAGGCGATTTACCGCCCCAGAGTAGGCCTTAGTTTTGCTATAAGTGCCGCAGATTTAATTATGTGTTTAGCAACCGAATTTATATGGTT